ACATTTACAATCATTCAACAGCTGCACATGCGCATGTAACGTCCTGCATGCTGTCATGACCAGTCATCACAATAAGACAGTTTTGTTGGAAATGACCATGACCGCACTAAGTCTCTTGAAATATTTTTAGCAGCACGAGGTCAGCTTTCCACGTTCTTTGGCTTGTTAGCTTTACAATCTGTTAATCCCTGCTGTGATGCCAGCAGGGTTTAGGGTGCTTAAGCAAGCAGGTGTGCTTCACGTGACACCCTCCAGTCCTGGCTGGCTCCCCTCAGCACTGTGTTCTGTGCACGGTCCTCATGGCCTTGTGACTGTCCCAGCAAGGACTGCTGCACCACCCCTCCCCCCCTGCACTCCTATGGCTCCTTTAATGCCACCTAGTCCCTTTTCTACATCGCTGAGGCCTAATGTAAGCAAATAGCATCAGTAGGTAACTGGTTAATAGCATTTGACTAAAGTTGGCTCATTGGTAGTTCATAGATATAAAGTTGATTACAGTTACCTCTGTGTGACCCTGCCTTCTATAAGTACTGTCTCACAGCCTTCACTATGCTGTCATTGAAAGTCAGAAAAATGTTGAATGTCTTATTCTTCTTTGTTGAATTTCCAGTCTCCTTAGTAAGTCTCCTTGCTTCTCAAGAAGCAAGTGGCATCTTAAATTCCACAAATCCTTCTACACCTAATTTCAGTGCATTGTTTTTTCCAATATGCTTGTCTTTTGCAGAAGTATCTCAAAACTGTATCGGGGCATGAAAACAGCAGCTCTCCTGTCTTGCATAATTTTCATATACACTGTACACTGTTTTGTGCACATAATATATTAGGAACAGGGAAAGGTTTAATTCATGCTGAAAGAAAAAGAAAAAAGACGCAACGTTTCGGCTGTGGAGCCTTCTTCAGGTGGCTGTCTCCTTTCTTTTCCTTTGCAGCCCATGCAGCTACGTACTTGAACTTCATAATATATTAGTATACATAACAGATTAGAACCTGCTCTTCTCTCTGGGCTTCCATTGTCAAGATACAGACATACCTGCCCATTGTAAGTCCTCAGTACAAAGCAGCTATGTTGGAAAACACCCACTGTTGCCATAATGGAACCGTTTTCCATCTTTTTGATCCAGGCAGCAATTAACATTGCTCAACACAAGCTAGTGCCTGCAGAATGAGTGGCGCAGTGTTTTCAGCTGGCTGGGCTGGCACTGAGGAAGGTCAGAGGTTCACACCACAGTACAAGCACTCACAAGGTGCCAACTTTGAGAGGCTGCTTGATGTACAACCAGGAAATAGAGGGCAGCTGGCAGGGACTCCATCCACGTCCTAAAGCAGATCTACCAAAACAACAGTCTCTGGACTATTACAAGGTGGGTACTGTGAGGTTTCATTGGCTCCAAAGACTCATGTTTCTTTATGAGGTGTCCTCCTGCTCTTTACTGAAAAGAAGTGACAGCAAAGTAGAAAAGTTTAGTGTACCTAAATGTACATTACAGTTTATGACCTAAAAGCGTTAATGCACACATATATAAAATAATGCATGCCGTTTAATGCGTCTCCGTTTTTAAATTGCTATATCAACAGGATAGCTTAAAACTAATTGTTATTGCATGTTAATCTGTCTTGATGCCTTAAAGACACAGGTGTTTGTGCTTTTGGAATACACATTTGATTTAACCTTCCTGTGAATTGATCAAGTAATAAAAACTGCATGAGATTTTAAATTAATTAAGCTGCACAGATCAAAAGCTGGCAAAACCCAAACAAGAAGAAATTCGAAGTGTCAACATTTATGTTTAACTTCAGAACTGTCAGAATTTAAATCCTGCATTATTAACATCAAATTTACACAGTGCTAAAAAACTTTAGGAAAAAGAGAAGCTGAAGTCATTAAAGTAGAGGGGAAATCACTCATTATGTTAAATTATTTCCTTTTTGGAAAGAATTTGCTACAATTACAGTCACAGATACCCTATTGTATATGATGAAGCTTGTTTCTTTGTATTGACATTTCACTGGTTTCCAAAGTCCAGCCCTGAAAAGGATTTTACAGTCCTTCATACTTACTTTAAGGTTTGGTGTTTATGTTGAAAACTCATTATGAAATAACTTATTTTTTTTACTGCATAATGTAACTTTAAAGAAACCAGGCACTGTTTGCTAACTGGTATTCAGCAGAATATGTCACAGGGCAAAAAACAAATTATTGTCAATTCTTAAAGCTCGCAAGTTAAGTAACATTTAATCCAATATTGTCTGAGTATTTGTTGAAGTAGAGTTTGCAAAAATTGCCAAGGACCTACAGGCTCAATTGTGCTATAAAAATCTATTAAATTGCTATTAAAGTCTAATTTATTCTGAAGAATGCAATGCATAAAATTAGTTGGATTTTAGGATATCTCGGTACTTATACAAAACTGAAGGGGCACATACTTCAATCAGATATTGTAGTCCAGTCCAAGAGACCACACTGCACGTTTTTATGTTTTCAGTGTTTCTCCAACCAAACATAAATAGCAGCTTCAATTTTCTACATGAGAGCACCTCTTTACTCCTCCCATGATACTGTATAAAGAGTCTGGTGCTCTTCTCGAAAGAGAGAAACAATGACCGTGCCTTAACCAGAGAACAAGACCGTTGATTGGCACCTGTGAAAGTCACAAGGACAGAAACCATTCTTTGCTCCTAGTTAGCAAGTGACAGGAGGTTTTGATTTATTGTGGCCACACAATGACTCTGGGCTCACTTTCTCATCCCTAAGCTGTATTCTGAAGCAGAAGGCCTCAAGACAAAAAGTGAACTTATCCTAGAATTGCAGCTGCAGATGGATAGATCCCATTCAGCTGAACTGAAACGCAAAGAAATCAATTATTACAAGCCCTTTTCGGTTAGGCATCAGACTTACAGAGGCTGGTTCTTGTATAAATGAGGCAAAAAGGTTACACCATGTTTATGGCAATCAAATTAACACTGTATGTTCTATGTAATTTTTTTACTTTTCTTCAAAATTAGGTAAATCTTAGTTTTAATTTTTGAAGATTATATGACAAGGAATTAAGGATACTCACAGAACATTACCCTATTTTATTTTCCCACAAGAACTAGATGTGAAAATGACACAATTCTTCTAACTTTTAGAAGCTCTGCGCTGTGGATTTCTTACTGTTCAACCTTGTGTGACATTAACATGAATGAAACTCAAAACAATTCAAAGGAAACCTGAAGCTAGAAAAATATATAGTAAAGGAGCAAGGGCGGTATACAGAGTCCACATTCATTTTTACCAATCTACAGTCTGAATGCTTTGTCCATCACCAAAATGATTGACAAAATTAGCAGACAGATGGGCTGGTGATTGGGGATAAATATGATTCATAAGATATCTTTTCATCCACACTTTGCAAGTTAAGAAGCCAATACTTCCTATCACACTCCAGGTGAGTGATTTCTCACTCTGCTCTTCGCAAAACAGCATCTTTCATTGCTTACTGTTGCACTGCTCACAACTACTGCTGTGTCTCTTAACTTTCCTGGTAGTTCTGGCTAACCATAAAGCAACGCCTGAGAGTGTCAGGGCTTTGTCAAAAGTCTTCATTTTGGGGTCTCGGGGATAATCTCCTATTGTCCCTCACACCCAGCGTGATAGTTAACCCTTCAAGCTGGAAATAGGGATTGTCTTTGTCAGCAAGACTGTGATGCAAAAATCAACATAATTTACACACAGGAAAAAGGATGTCACAAAGCCTGTAGACAAACCCTCAAGGAAAGACAATAGTGACTAAGGAAATTGGTGTATTTTGTATCTGCTGTACACTTATTTTACACATTTGTTAAAGCAGCTCCAATTTTAGAAACTGTAATTGTATGCTTTGAAAGCTGAAAGCAAACATAACATCACAGTGCAGATAAAATGCAAATAGATACCACTAAAATCAATTGTAAACAATTCAGAATAAATTCTAAATAGTTTATTATTACATTTGAATAGAATGTTTAAATATTGTTACAGCTCCTAGGGTCTAACTGCATGCTAATGTCCGCAGAAGCAGGTATAATATGTTCAGTAGTTTGGCCAAACCCTAATTCAGAGTGGGGTTGCAGCACGGTTTGAATTAGTTTGCTTTCTTGGCCTTGCCTGACTGAGGAGTAAGACCACCTGTCTGTGAGGTTGTCGGATCCCCTGTTGAGGAGTGAACCAGGGAGCCACTGGAACCAGCACAACTCACAGAACTCTACAAAAACCTCTTCCGTGTAAATAATCCCCTGTAATAAATACCCAGGAATTTACAGAATACAGCAATGCAAAATACAGAATTTATTTTTCATAGGTACTGTCATTTCAGACATCCTAGATCCATTTTTTATTAAAATGAATAACCAGTCACAAATCCCATTGAATAAGTACAGTTACAGCATTGACGTGAAAATCAGACTAGTTCCAGAATCCTATAGCTCCGTGCGCACTAGGTACTAGACAGTACATGATCCATTATAACTGAGACGAAAGAATGTGCATAAAACACAAACGAATGAACACAAATGTTAATGTTTTAACATCGATTTAATCATTTCTAAAACGGACTTTACTGTTTTATTGATACTGGAGTTTTAGAAAGAGCTTATCATTGTCGTGGTGCAAGTGTTCCGCTGCCTGGAGCGCATTGTCTTGCGGTGCGCGTTCAGTTTCAGCACCTTGGACAGTCCAGGAGCAGTTCGCTCAGTCAGTGCGCTCAGATCTTTCTTGGGGCGACGATGTGCCCTGAAGGTGAGAAAACAACGTGTTGTTTTAAATATTAATTATTTTAAATGTTTCTCTGATGCTCTACTTCATGAAATATAATTAGCCGTACAAATAAAGTTCTTTGTCATCTGTAGATACATGATACCATTATTCGTATTTAACGACAAACTTGTAAAGCTACACTTAAAGACTTGGAAATACAGTATAGTTTTAGTTCCAGCAAGTGGCTTAAGGGGACATATTTAATATTAATGCTTTAATATCATGTGAATGGGCGATATCTGCAATGCAGTACAGATCATGTTCCTTTTTGTCATTTGAAACGATTTAAGTCCATTATTTTCCCAAAGATTGACTTGAATTAGAATTTAGCGTCTTTGTATCTGTAACATATTTTTTGGGTGGAAAGTAGCAAATGCTGAATAAGGTCTAATTGCTAGTGAAGATGATTAAAGCAACATATCTGTCTTCAAAGACTGCACTTTGCTTTTCCGTATCTACAGTTTAGGTGGATGATCAGAAGTCTGTAGATTGGATATTCACACGAACACATATCTATACGCTAGTAAAACTACAATATCCAGAAGAAGAATATTGAGAGCTCATAAAGGCATTCTTAAATGCAAATTTTCTTTTCGATAATATGCCATGTTATATCCAACTCTGGGAAAGAAACCTTTCATGGCGACGAGACATTTGTCAGTTAGTTTTTAACACGGCGATTTCTTTGTGCCTTGCCATCAACGTTTTATCTCCTGGCGAAAATTGGATTACAATCACGCACGTCATCCTCGTGGACTGCAAATGGTGCAGCAGTGGATATTTTTAGCCTGGATTAGGACATAAGAATCGGAAAAGGGTTTTTTTTTTTTTACAGAAGACGCGGAACACGCTGTCTTCTCCAAAACCAGCTGCACCCGGGCTTTCTCAGAAGTGTTATCTGGTACGACAGGACCAAATCATACTGTGGCAACCAAATCGTTCAGAAGCAAGTATGTCACTGAAAAATCCTTTACAAGTGGCCAACATTGCATGGAGAAACAATAATATCAGCCTTCTGAATAAAGACCCTCCTCTTTCAGAACAAGGAGAGACCATCATCGGAGTATACCTGTTGATTCTAGGTGGGTATCTAAAGTTGATTACACTGTTCGCTAGGAGTAAAACTGCTACATTATGTACACACTGTATAGCTCAACACGAGTCACAGGATTTTGATTTTTCTGATTCTTTCTATAATGCAATATTTTCCATTTAATTTTGTAGGTCTTGTTTGGAGGTGTGTTAATGCTTCACTGGAACTGTACTGTATATCTCGTTTTACTTTTTTTTACCGCCAAGATAAAGCATACTGTATCGTCTCCATATTAATTTGTACCTTTTTCTGTTTTAACTTCCTATGTGTCAGACAGTGCGGACTGACTATTGGTGTACTGACAGAAGATTCTGCGATTCCTTACTCTACAATTGAATGTTTTGCAAAGTTTTTAAAAATCTGCTTTTGTTAGCTTGTGAATTGGTTAATTTCTTTCACGTTTCCGAAATGATTAAAAGAGAATGAATATTTAACTGAACTTGAGAAGAACGCACATTAAAAAAGTGAACATCTTTTTTTTGTGGCAAGGCTATATTGTTAGGTGTCCAGCTGCATAATACTAGCTATGAAGGACTAGACTTAAGCCTGATTAATACTTTACCTCCAGACATAATTGTTATGGTAATCCTTACGGTCTTGGTTCTACAAAATAATGGTGAGGAGGTTCATGTTCATGCAGAGATTTGTAGTCCTCTGTTGCTGTAGCTGATCATTTGGTTTGACCAGCATTGTGCATAGCTCGGAGAAAACATGAGAAGGTTTTGGATTGTAATCTGTCATCAGAGAGAAAGGGTAAAACAATCTTATTTTGAGCAGACTAAGTCAGTTTTATAGGAGGTACTGCATTTTATATTTTTAAAGACTTGCAGTCATTTTTTCTCTCTGTTCTATAATGTTAGTAGCTTGAAAACCTTTATCAGTCTGTTTCTTTCATTTAGAATTTGGGAAACAAAGTAAATGTCCACTGGGAGAAAGGCATTTATTTTGTTCAAAGGAATGGGCACCCTCTGTCATCAGCTAATGATACTCGCTAATTTATTAAACCCAACTACAGATTTTTATAGAGTCTCATGCCTTGATGCCTGTAGATTCCTTCATTCAAGATTTTAAGATTTTCTAGGACAAGCATGTGCTAAATAAATCGATTTGCATACAAATACACTAAACATGTAATAAAGAATATCAATTATTTTTATTTATCTTGTTATTTGAAATAACACTGTTTATGGAAATTCCTTCTAGCAGGTCTTAAAGTTCAGCCTCAAAGCTCCAGTTTATAAACATTTGGAACCCTGGTGACTTTTGGTTAAATTTGTTAATTTAAAATTAAGTTAATCTGTTGCTTTAAGTCAGGAATGGGCCATTGGGGGTAGTTGAGAGTTACAGCATCTTTGATATGTTTATTTCAGATTAACTTCACATTGTTTAACACACCAAACTGTCTGCTTCTGAGGTCAGGCTGCGAGGCACAGCACTGGCCAGAATGTTTTTGATGGCAGCTCTTCTGAATTGTGAGCACGATGCAGAAGCAAGATATCTCAAGGGTGAAAGGACCAGGTCATAAATATTTACATATCAATTGTAGGTCTTCTCTCAGTCCCATTACTCTGAATATTCCATGACTCCCATCGCTGACTTTTGAAAGATGCTTTTCATCACACGCGATTGCCTTGTTTCAGATTTTTTAAAGTAAATACGTGGAAACCAAGAGTAGTCCTGACACTACTGACACTAGAGATAGAATTTTTAGTGATACAAAACATTAATTATAGTTTCAATTCACTTTATTTATTTCACTTGTAAATTTGCAGCTATAAGCTGTAAGTCCAATTGCTAGAGAAATTAAACATAACCACACTTCCTACTTCATGGGCTTTAAACCACTATACTAAGCACAGTTACAGACCAAAGATTCAGATTCAGATAGTGTCACTTGACAGTAGCCCTGTTTTTGATCCTGTCTTAAAGTAGAGTATAATTCCACAAGCCCCCCATCTCTGCCACTTCAAACAGGAGGCAAGATTGTCCTGAAATGAAAGCCAGGATTTGCTCTTTTCTGTAGGCAGTCCAGGGTTTGTGGGGTTACACTAAAGAGGAAGGTCTTTCCTTCATATCCTGTCTGATCCGAGGATATTGACCTGCCCAGCAGGGATAAGTCGTGTGGTTAAGGCTCTGGACTGATAACTGAAAGGCTGTGGGATCATGTGTGGCACTACTGATTTACCCTTGAGCAAGACGTACTTAAAAAAGTGTAAAAATATTAAAGTAAGTATTGTGTGTGTTTGACTGACCCTAAATGTTGAGCAGTAGTGCCTTATAAATTTTACAATCCTGGTTTTATCAAAAAGTTTGGACAGAGCTTTAAACAAGATGAAGCAAATTCAAGCAATGGTACAGGCACACTGACTGTTGGGAACAACCAGAGAACAAAGGCAGGGAAATACAAGAACATTGTGAAGCACCGTTTGTAAGACACCAGTTTCTGAAGGGCTGTGGAAAATACTGTACATCATATGTGAGAATGATTTTGTTTGATAGCTTCTTCTTAGTATTAATATAATTGAACCTGATGAACATTAGGAAGGGCTATGAATATATATCATGTTTACACAAATTATGAAATACCATAGAAATATAATATAAAATATTTTAATAATGTCCAAGTGAATTTAGAACAAGCTCAGCCCTTTTGATTTTTTTGCCATTTGTAAATATGCTATTCTATTGCCTGATATAATTTCTTTAATTACAATATTGATTTCTGGACAGAAGAATTTCATGAATTCCCTTTGTGTTGTATGGGTCTCCATATGTTATGTCTGCATTAAGAAACAAAAAAATGCAGTCTGTATAATGGGATCACTTGTGTAGTCCAGAGATGTTCCATATTATGAGGTAAAATGACAAAGTTTGGGACTAAAGGGGAATGAGCAATTAACCATTCTCATATCTTTCTTAATATAAATCCAGTGGGAAACACCAGCACAGAGCATCACAATTTACCCATATAATTTATTCATAGTCTTTCAGCACCACATGGTTCGACTTGATGGCATAATTCTCCGGTCTCCAAGGTTGTCCAGTAGTAATGCCAGTTATTGTGATATCTCCAGGGCTTAACGGCTCAGCGCCCAAAACACAGACATAATAAGAATGAATGAAATGGGAGATGTGATTGAGCTAGACCCTTTGCAGTGAAGTAACCGAATAAATCAGCTGAGGGGAGTAAACAATAGACAAGCCTCAGCAGACTGTGCCTCTGTGTTCTCTCGCAGGCTGGCTGTCTTGGTTTGGAAACAGCATTGTGCTGTTCATCCTTTACAAACAAAGGGCCACCCTCCAGCCCACCGATTACCTCACTTTCAATCTGGCCATATCGGACGCCAGCATCTCCGTGTTTGGATACTCCCGAGGGATCATTGAAATCTTCAACGTCTTCCGAGACGGGGGCTTTATTATAACATCCATCTGGACGTGCCAGGTAAGGCAGTGTCGGTGCGAGTTCTGCAGCTGTGGGACTTTTTTTTAAAAAGGTCACTGTTTTTTATCTTATTTTTTATTCTAATGCAACTGAACATAAAACCAAATCAGTTGCAGATATACTGAAAGCATGGGAACAATTCCAAGAGCTATTCACCTCAATGTGAATGAATTGCCGCATAAAAGAGTTTCACACAAGGAACTCCTGAACCCTCCTACTTGTCCCTCTAATGGAAAAGCAGTGTGACAGTCCTGTTACTGAAGAGCAGGGAGACATTGACAGAGAGATTTTGCACACACGATGGGTAATATAGACAAATTTCAGTTTCACGAGGAATGAGGGCAGCCAAGGACTGTGTGAAATCACACGTGAATGAAGAATCACTTCTTGAGTTTTGGGAGACTTGGCTTCACCCACCTGTCTGAGGGCCAACCTCCAGGCCACAGGACAGGGAGGCTAGAAGCCTTGATGTCGGGTGAAAGGGCGACCCAGGGGTAGCTGCAAAGGTGGAGATGGGGTAGAGGATGGTAACAAAACAAGCAAGGAAAAGGAGAGAGTGACGTGTGGTATATACAGGAATCTGCCTAATTACAGTACGTCAGGATTAGTTTATGGATTGCAGCAGCTGATCTTCATTAACCTGTCTTCCCTTATTCCTCCTGAACTCTCGTTAGAACTCCATTTAAAGAGGTAATAGATTTTCATGTTCCTCACAGTCAGGCTTTCTGTGTTCTTTCTGGTGTGTGGTATAGAATATTGTATTACATGGAAGAAAGCAGAATCAGAGCTATCTGTATAGACACTGAAAGGGGAGCACGGCCCCAGCCTGGCTGTGATATGATTTTTCTTTTTGTCTCTTTTACGGCCTTTTAGGTCTTTTCCATACATCAAAACAACATTTTCCATGTGAGGATAATCCAAACTGTATTCTACTTGACCAATTTTGTATTCCAGTGTAATGACCATAAATCTAACTCTATTTCAAGGAACATATGCTGTATAGTGTGTTTTAAGAGTACACAGAAGCTATGTTTTTGGGAAATGAATATTAAATTGCTCTTAGTATTTTACAGCGCTGAGGAGGAGGGGGACCATTTAAGACTTCTAATTCTAGTCCCACAATTCATAGCAAATGCAGGCTCTTAAAAGACTCCATAAGGCTGAAAGACATTACTTTTAATTCACATACTACATATACTGTACCTCAATGTCACTTGTGAAAGCTGTCACGCCAATTAGCCCTAATATGACAAAGCAGTTGACCATGATTGTTCACCTATACCTTATGGATCAAATTACATTGAAGAATCAGTATACCAAGCTAAAAACTTCACAGTAATAAAAACTATTTAAATAATTATATATATATATGTATAAAGACATTAAAGAATTATCTCAGATCAGGCACTAGAAAATCCTCCATAAAGAGCAATTTCTTTATATCCAGCACTCTGGCCCATCTTTTTAAAACATTTTAAAGATACTCATAAGACAAACTGAAAATAAAGACAACTGTAATATTTAAGGTAAAAGTGATGAATTGACTTGAAGACATACCAGGTTTTAGAACTTTGAAATACAGAATGAAGCTGTATAAGAGCTGTAGAAGAAAGCTACAAGGAACAGAATTTGCTCTATAAAACAGTGAATTGATGCTTTCATTAGAACATTTAAAATAGTAAGAAGAAAATGTTAACTGAACGAGTGTGCAAAGTGACATTCATGTACTGTAATAACAATGATTACCAGTTAATTAAATCCATCACAGGGATAAACTGTACATTTCCAAACCCACCACATAACTGTTAAATTAGCAGATATACCACCTTTTGCTACTGAAATTATGAAATATAAAAAAATATATTATAAAAGATTTGTGATGATGCTTAAGGTCCTCTCAACCACAGGTTATCACAATTCTGAGAAATCCCAGCCCACAAGAGCATTCACCCTGTATTTTGGTATTTTGGTGCTTTGTGTTGGATAAGTTGTTACTTTCTAACTTGTCACTGACTGCTCCAAATTGGCTGCTCACCACTGTGTTGTGTGCTGCTGATATTGTAGCTAATACTAGTGTAAAACCTTAACATCTTTCAAGGTCATTGTCCTTCTGTTTGTTTTTACCCCTTAAAGCAAAGGTGTAAAACATTTTGCAGTCAGAGTGAGGTTTTATTTCATTTCTCTTAACTTGCATTTTGAAGGTGTTCAGAATGGAATTTCTCACGTTACAATAACGTTTAATTCTTAATAATGCTGTTTCTACCATTACTGTACCTCCCCTTATTCCTTCAGAAGTAAAAAGACAGCAGTCTTATAAAAGACTTTAAATTGCATTCATTAACAATTTCTTCAAGCAATATTAAATGTTTCTATTTTATTTTGGCTGGAGATTGAGATAAAAGTAGTGCTGAAAATGAAAGGTCTATAAAGTTATTTGAATGAGCAGGCAGGTACACTCATGACACGTATTAAGAGATTAGAACATTAGTCTGACAGGACTTGTGTGGGAACACTTGCTAAGAGCTCAGTGCAAATCTATGATGTGGTCTGTGGGTTTCACTAGTTTATTTGCATGTAATTTTCTATTATCTTGCAATAATACATGCATCAAAAGGATATTTTACCTTCCACTTTTTCTGTACAAAGTGCCACTTAAACAACAAACTAAAGTTACCACAACCAAAAGACTACCTGAAGAAAACTAACTTATGCTTTCTAAAACAAGGTCGTTTTAAGATGTACTGTATACATAAACCGATATGTTGTTTTCAGAAAATATTACAAAAGGTGGAAAAAGTTAGAGGTCTGGAAGTTCAGGAACACATAACTACAATGCCATCAGTGCTGTTGTGCCCTAGAGCAATGTATTACAGTCCACATGACAAATGTAGACCTGCAGTTCTGGGCGTAACATCTCAGAAGACTAGTATCCTGTGTCCAGGGGGGTCACACACTGTGGTAGGTTATGGCTTGATCAGCCACTCCTGGGGTGTCCAGTCCAGGCCCTGGAGGGCCAGCGGGACTGTGGATTTTCGTCCCAACTCAGCTCATAACAAGATAAACCAGCTGGTTACTCGGTTAAGTGGACTGATGTAGCAGCGCTGTTGCTTTAAAGAGACTTGAAAATCCTGCAGACCCCCCAGGGCCAGAGCTGGAATACCTCTGCTTTAGACTCAAGTATGGGCTTCACGTTTTTACCTTTCGTTTCACGGAGCCATTTGAAACCCACTGTGCCGACACTAAGAGCTATGCAAGCATGGTTCTGAAACATTATGAGTTTATTATGAACTTAGCAGCGGATTTTGCGTAACTGGTACAGCCATGAGAGTTTCGCATTTCCTTCCCATGGCCTTGCCTCCTCATTTACTGAGGACAGCAGGATCACTGCTTTTCCCACAGTGCCTCTGAATCACCACTGAATCCCCTGACAAGACAGTGAGCTGTATGGCTGTGGTTCAGTTATCAGGGATTTGAGCTAACAAGCGGAGCTGCACGGACATTGGCATTCATTCCTTGCCTTTTTCCTCCCTGTGCACTATGCATTCATTTTCCGCGAACATCACAAAGTATTAAGCTTAACTTTAATCAAGATCCAAAGTATGCGGTGCGGGCTTTGTTTTTTGATTGTTTGCTTCTATAACGTTAAGTTCAAACTGAGCAGCTAGCCCACTGAGATTCTTTCTCATTTGAATTTGAAGCATGCAAAAAGGGCAGGAAGGTCAATTATAATGAGTGGGAAAGCATTGCTGCTTGCAAGAGTCATGATACTAGATTGGCATAATAGCTACCTTTTACTTGTAACTTTTCCTAACTTGGAAAACTGCAAAGTAGCCCCAGCAAAATTGGCCAAGATATGTGGAATCCTTGTAATAGCCTAGTGCAACTAGAGATTTTAACAATAAAATGCTTGTACTGTATCTATAGTGCGCATATAGAAATGCTTTTATGATTACTTTGGGTTGATGTGTACCTAGGAATTATTTCGCAGAAGTAGTCAGGCATGTATTGCCTGCTTAATATGTCAGCTGGAAAAAACCTGTATTATCTGACATACCAGTTGTAAGATAAATCTGTCAAGCTGTCAGCTGTGCTGTATATGATGGATCATGACACAGGTAAGTCTAGGAGTTTGCTGGAGATTAGTTAGGTACGTAGCTGTAAGAAAAGCATGTGAGCACATGGATGACTGATTATGACAATGATCTCATTTTTAGTGTCCTCAGGCATATTTCCAAGAAGCACTGTTTGAACTGAAGGAACACAGACATTCGTGGATAAAGAATGAATCTCCTTGAATTTTGAGCTACCAGCATTGCTGAAGCAGTGGTGATATTATGTATTATTTATTTCCAGGTCGATGGTTTTCTCACCCTGCTCTTCGGTCTGGCCAGCATCAACACCCTGACTGTCATCAGTGTGACCAGATATATCAAGGGATGCCATCCTGTCAGAGGTAATGTCACATTTAATGCAGGCTTCTTATCCCTCTGATGCACAAATGGTGAAGTTTATTCATAGCATTTTTGTAATATGTATCTGATTTTATACATGTGTTTTTATTTACTTGATTTTCATCATTTTAAAATGTTGCAATGCATTTCTGCTTTATTTGCCCCATGTAACACAGCTTATACAAGCTAACTTAGGAAAATGTTGATTTTGGTTCTGTTTTTATGCTTATCATATTTGTTTATATGGTTCTAAGCTTAAAGGACATCAGCAGTTCTTCATTGTATCATCATGCTAGTCCTTCCATCCAAAAAAAAAAAGGCACTGCCAATGGTGCGTTTCAGGCGATGAAAAGATCAAGATCTTTCTTCTCGGTTAATATATCATTCATATAACAATTATCCCCAGTTTTCAAGCTTTCACCGATCCTCACAGACACAAGTGCCAGACTGTAATAAAGTTGCTGTATAGTGTATTATGGCATGTGTGCAATCAGACTAAATGACCCATGTGCTGCCATCTGAAAAAATATTTTCGTGCTGTTGAGAAGAACTGTGCTTGATGTCTCAGCTCCTTTAACATTTTTCATGGAAACCTTGTTACAGGATATGAAGAAAGAAGCAAGGGCAATACAGTCCATGAATACATAGTGAATTCCACTTATAAAATGAAAACCAGTCACCTGTACTAGTGCTGTGCGAGTGTTTAGATAAATTCTATGCTCTTTGCACACGCTACAGTATATATTGCTGTTGTAAGACATGAAAAAGGAGATGTTAGGTGCATGTACGTGCTGTAGCTCAAACAGTACAGTTATGGTGCCATGTGACAGAGAAAAAAATACATACTTGATTTAAAAACTGTAAAGAAATTCAAATGTTGTGCTCTTTTGTGCAAATTCTTTTTATTGTACTTTCATTCCCAACACTGCAAATCAACTGTCACTAATACCGTACATCCACTAATAAATCAGTGTGTCTAAACAAGAGTATAAGTGCAAATGATTTTACTAAGTTCATGATTGTGTGAATTTTTTCAACAAAAGGTCTTTTCACTCACTAACAGGGCGCTCCTCCTTCCTCCTTCAGAGAAAAGTATTAATTATTTATAAAATGTCACAATCTGACATTCATAAGCCCTAAAGGAATGTGCCTCTATGTCCCCTTTCACATTCAGTGAGAAGAATTACAAGCCAAACATTTAATCTGGAAAGAATTCCTTTAGAATTTTAAGTAAAGTAGAAATGTGACTAAAAATGCTTATCAGAGAATTGTCTGGGTCTGTAGAAATAATAACTGCATTTTTCATCATTTTTAGAGGGACCTGCCTGTTGTACATTTTTATTTTAATATATTTAATTTTAATTATGCTGCAGAAATCTGTAAGTGCACATCTGGGGTGCACACCATGATAATAACAATACATACAGTACATGGGCTGTGATAGGACCATTTGTATTGGTTTCCTGCACCTGTTGGGATTACAGGGGGGTAATGACAAGGTGAATGAGTGTCTAGAGTCTTCTCATTGTTAATGCACTTATTTCTTCATGTTTTTAAATTCTTTCTGCAGCTCCCTGCATCTGCAACCACACCATCACCGTGTCGTTAGTGCTGATCTGGGCTGCAGCTCTCTTCTGGTCTGGAGCCCCTCTCCTGGGCTGGGGCAGCTACACAGGTCAGAGAATACAGCTGTGAATTAACTCTGATCGACACAGAGTCATTTTGCATTGTTCCATCATTTTGATATCCATGTATTTCCATTATGTACCTTTAAAACGCTGCTCAGTTTCAATGTTTGCCTTTTTTTACTTGATACTGAAAGACACATAGTAACCACTAATGCTTCCATTTTAAAATTCACTTCGAATGTCTAAGTATGATTCAGCTTTCAGTGTTCAATATTTATGCTTTGAAGCAGACATGCTAGATGACTCCATTCTCCCACAAAGAAAATCCATCACATCTAGCAAACCTGCAAACCAGTTACACAAAATTCTTATTTTTACACTAACAGAACATTACCACCTTGCTTTTTTCACTCTTTAAAAAGAAAGCGCGCTAAACCTTCCATGTTTTTTTTTCTGTCTCATCAGACCGAGGATATGGTACCTGTGAGATTGACTGGGCCAAAGCCAACTACTCCACCATTTACAAATCCTACATCGTGTCCATTCTAATCTTCTGCTTCTTCCTGCCTGTGCTGGTGATGATCTTCTCCTACGTGTCCATCATCCGGACCGTGAAGAGCAGCCATGCCCTGGGGGCAGACGGGGACCTGACGGACAGGCAGAGGAGGATGGAGAGGGATGTGACCAGGGTGAGTGCTCAACGAGCAGCCCGGGGGCAGAGCCAGAGGACAATACGATTCTGACACACTGGCCCTCTCCCCACCCAGCCTCAGAGGTGTCAAGGCTGATCAAGGCCTCCTAATAATGCAGCCACCTGTAACTGGCTTCATGACTCTGCTCCTCTCCCCACTGATAGCTGGTGTGTGGGGAGTGTAACGGTGCACTATGGCTGCACACTGGTGGTGGTGGAGGGGATCCCCATTACCTGTAAAGCGCTTTAAGTGGAGTGTCCAGAAAAAAGGAATTATTTTTATATATCAACCAGCTGTTTCTCGAAGGGACCCAGGTTATCAGCTTCAACGATGTGGCTGAGTAGCTTGTTTCATACACCTACTGTACATTTATCCGAACCTTTGGGTAAAGAAGGGCCTCCTGTTGTTGGTTTTAATATACTTCTATTTGGTTTCCATTTGCAGTATGGCCTCTGGTTTGTGTTTTTGAAAAAGAATGGAGTCTGTGTTTTTAAACAAGGGATCATTTTTATTTATTTGCTTGGAAGTATAATACATGCAACATGGCTGTGCATCTTTCTTTGAAGGACTCCAGGATGATACATTGACTCCCACTGGAGTAAGGAACTGCAGGAGTTTGTAAGAAGTCTGAACCAGTGTACCACTGTACACACTTTAAGGAATATCCAACAGCAAAGCCTATCATTTCAGTGATTTATGACTCGGAACTCCAAAACCTGTAATTAATTAAAAACCAAGGCTTGGCAAATGTGGTATTCTGCTCAGTAGAAGAGCAGTAAATAATGAACTTACTTCACTTGAAAAGTGGTAAGTGAGCATTGAACTGATAACTGAAGTATGATACAACTGTTTGGAAAGGTATTAGAAGGATAATTCAGAAACAGAAGCTTGCTGTACATTAGCCAGTGGTCTGTGGTTTAAAAACTCATTAAGGCACAATGCTTTGCTAAAGCCCTTGAGGGATAAATCTGCCATTTATGGCACCTAATCAATGGAGCGTAAACTTCAGTTTGTCTTAAAGTATGACTTTTATTCTTTTTATTGCTTTACAGGGATACTAAGGTAATAGAGAGCATTGTTAATGAGGTCTGTTGCTTTCTCCACCACCTTAAAAAACCCCAAGGTAACACAAACCCTCCTGTTCCAGGTGTCCGTCGTGATCTGCACAGCCTTCATCGTGGCCTGGTCACCCTACGCCGTGGTCTCCATGTGGTCGGCCTGGGGTTTCTACGTCCCCAACATCACCAGCATTTTCACCCGGCTCTTCGCCAAGTCTGCCAGCTTCTACAACCCCCTCATCTACTTCGGCATGAGCTCCAAGTTCCGCAAGGACGTGAGGGTGCTGCTGCCCTGCGCCAGGGGGGGCAAGGACAGCGTCAGGCTCCGGCGCTTCAAGCACCTGAAGCCCAGGGCGGAGGCCCAGCAGCCCAGCAAGGAGCCCCAGCCCGGGGAGGAGGTCAAGCCTTCTCCCAGCCCGGACTCCGGCGTTGGGAGCCCCTCCAACACCCCTCCCCCCGAGAACCAACAGGTCTTCTTCATTCCCCTGCCCCTGGAGTCGGAGACCCCCGAATTCGAAAGCGACAGACTCTAAAAACTGGACTCTCGTGTTGTCATTTTTTTCCCCAAGTGGTTTCAGGGTTGTTTTTCATTCTGGGGAATATATGTGCAGTGATGTTGAATGGTAATGTGGTTTGCACGTTATGTTTTTTTTTTGTTGGTTTGCTTTCCTCTCTTTTTCCTCACATTGCCCAGGGCAATGATTAGAGGCTTACGTGCGCCCAACGCCAAGGAGATTGAATCGTGGGAGATGCAAATCTTAAAACAGACAACAACACGAGCACAACAGACATGGCAACTTCTCACAGACTGGCTTGATGCAGACAAAGGCTGCTACCTCTACCATTTAGTTGGAGCTCATGTTGGATGGTTCTAGTTCTTCGGAGGATTACTTATTTTAATAAGGCAAGGCTCTGTGCGTCTCTATAATGGTCAACTGTGCCAGATCTATTAAAATCTAGCAAAATGTTTTGTTATGATGGTTTCTCATTAAAGGAGTTAAAAGGTGTTAAGGTTTTGTAACCCTTCACAGATTTTTTACTTTTTAATATCTGCTTCTTAAGTCTATCATTCTTTTGTGGGTGCAATGGGGGGCTACAATGTGAGTATATTTTGCCATTAGGAAACTATAAAGGTCAACAGCTTTACCTTTAATGTTATTCAGTAAACAAAAGCCAGAAAGAATGAGTCACATAAACACCTTTGTGTGAAGATCACAATTAATTTTATGCATCATATCTGTATCCCTGTTAGACGGCAGAGTCTAAGGTTTTGTGTTCTACCAGTTGCTTTGTAAATTGCTTAGAGAAATACAGTGTGTTCTGATACTAAATCTTATTTGCTTTGATGTGTTTCTTTGCCATTAGATTGTGGATAAGCTGAACATGTTGATAGAATCAGTTACTTCTTACCACCAAGCATACATTAATATCAGCATCTAATATGGATTCTTTCTCACTTTTTTTGCTGGCTGACTTGGTTGTTGCCAAAATAAATTTCTAGGCTTCCACACAAGTCCCAGTTCATCTGTTAGTCACTTGTCCCGCACAGATATTATGGGCCAGTCCAGATTGTGGCTAACCTAATATTAACGATGAACGCTGGGTTTTAAAGGGGTGGTGTGTCTGCAAGGGAAACCTTGTGATACTGCTCTCCACTCTTGCTGTTTGCTCAGTGGAAAAAAACAAGCAATTAGTAATATCCCTGAAGAAATAAACTCATCATATCTGGTTAAAGCTCAGCATGTCCAACTAAACACAAAATGCACTGAATAGTTGGTGCAAGAATGAGTGAAAACTTACCACTTCTTCTTGCCACAAAAGCCACAGAAAGCAGGAATGAGTGTCCGCTTTCTGAAAAACAATCAAGCTCAGAGTACAAGAGGTTATTACAATCTGTGCTTGACTTAAAGATAGTAATGTAATGAATCAGTAATCCAGCAACGTGATGAAAATAACATCATACATTTACATGGAGCTATTTCTTCCATAGCGTCTGTGAAAGACTGTCAGCTGAAATAATAATTTCTTAGACTTGAGAACACATTTGGAGTATACACTCCTACATTCTTCAACTACAAAATTATACAGTGTTGCATTTTTGTTACATCAAAAAAATAATAATGACTAGGCATATAGACTGATGCGTTTTAGTTTTTGGCCTTGTTTCTCTGCGATTCTAACTAGTGTGGGATAAATCCTACACAATCTGAGAGGCATCAGATCAAGGCTGCTCTGTAACTGTTCTCTGAGAGTCTGCTGGTGTACCTGCAGACTGCAAGAGGTCAGTCAATGAAAACTCTATAAAGGCAAGAGAGACCAACAAGAAATAGGAGATTTATTCTGCTTTAGCCTTGAGATCTCACTCCCTATCCTAAAAGTGCCTTGTTGACCTTGGCTTTATTGGCCATGTAAAAAAGACCTTGTTATAGATATAACAAGTACTGTATAGTCCCTAGTTATAAATATATACTGTACTTTATAGAGTTTGAAGACAGGCATATATAAGCCACCACATTGTTTTAGTACATCAAAGAACCCAGACTGGATTTTTGCTGTAAAGCCAGTCCAAAAAGTGTTGCTCTTAAAAGACACTAGATGCTTAAAATTAGAGTTTTGTTATCCATACCTTCTCAATGGCCTGGGGTATGTTTCCTGCAGAATTGTTCATCCACGGGCCTGTTGACTGACAGGTAGGGAAAACAGAGAGAAGAGCTGCCTGTATTTAACCACAAATGGAGGTATGGGAGAATTACTGGAGGTGTGACAATACACTCTGAAGTCCTGCAATGGGTAATTATATACAAGCCAAGGCCATAATCAAGGTGCAATGAGCTTTTATTGTTGCAATAAAGACTATTGAAACAAAATGTCAGTAAGATCTAACACACTCACATCCTGCTCCAGACACTTCTACCTTCTTTTAATCTCTCACATGACCGTCTCTGTTTGTCTCATTTCAGCACTTAGCAGGTTTTTTCTGCAAATCCTTGTAAGTCACTCGGTTTCCTGCAGCCCTGCTCTGACAAAAGCCGTGAAGGGAGATAAATGGCATGTTTTAATTCCAACATGTTTTACCCACAGTACGGTCTTTGCTTTCAGAGTGCTTCGAAAGGATCTCCATGCAAAACCCCATAGTGATTGCTATTCACTCCTCACATCGGGTACTGAATTTGATTTTGTTTTGTTGTTTTGTTGTACGGAATTGCTAAGAAGTGTTGTCAAAATAAAGAATGTTCTGAATACTTGTAAACACATGCAACACTCTTTGAACTCAGGGCTAATAAACAGAGCTCTTTGCTGACCAGCAGTGGGACATTTGGACTCAGATCTACAAAAGTCAACAATTCAGTAAAGAGATGCCAGTGGAAAATACAGAGGTGGCTGCCTATGTTGTTGCAAGTTCACGGACATTACTCCCTCATGGAAAGTATTTTTCTTGGAGTATAAAGACTTCTTGTTTACCAGTGAGTCAAATCCAGGGCATTTCCCTAATATCAGGGAAGGTTTGTTCCAGGTCATGATCAGTGCTTATGGAACAGGGAGCAGTGCACTGAGAGAGTTACAGAAGTGACATTACCCTCCTCTGAAATCTAGACAGTCTTCTGGCCTGGCAGAAGTTATCCACTGTCTCAGGAGTACTGCTGTGTGTGCTTGGAGCTTGCACGCAACTGGGTTCGAATCTTGGCAGGGGTAAGAAGAACTGTGCATGTCACACTCACACATGATACTGTGTGATATGTGAGCCATACTTGTTAAACTGTTCTGCAGAGGGGTAAGTGAAAATTGGTTGTTCTTCTGTAAATTTGCTGTCAAACCTGTTCAAAGAGGATCTACAGTATTTGCAAAATCTTAGGAAGGGAGAGAATGTTTAATATTGTGGGTAGTTTGCAATTTCCTTGTGTTTCTTTGCTTAATTTGTCTTTGTTTTTTGTTGTAGCAAAGGGAGGAGTTCCTTAACATTATTTCAATAGTTCTGCAAGGTGCAGCACATTTTACTTAAGCACACTCTAACAATCAAGACTTTCAGATGAAGAGCCGTCAAGAATGCAGATTGTACCTTATGATTCCACGTATGAACATGGTTTATATGCTTTTGAGATTAATGCATGCAATAATGCATTAGATGTCTGAGATAATCACTAAAGTAAAACCCATTATATGTGCCTCCTGTCTTGATTTGTTTAAGATTTGGAAATATCTATACTGTTGTCATGATCATTATCAAGATACAGCTCTGGTAACAGATATTTATGATTTACTGATGGCTGTTAACTCTGCTTTTAATCCCTTTTGTCATACTTGTCTTGAAAGGAGGCTTTAATACTATTAATCAAACTATCTTGCACAATAGATTAGAGAGGGCTTTTGGTATTACTGCAACTGATTTGTCTTGATTTAAAACTTACCCACAGTAAGTGACAGAAAACTATTTGCTCTAATTGTGCTTTTATCTTTCTCAACAAAATTGTTAAAATCTGGTGTCCCACAGCGGTGTGTTCTTGGTCCCATTGTTATTCATGTTATATACAATATGTTAGCATTGGAGCAGGTATAGTATCAGTTTTCATAAATTTCATATTCAAAAATTGTTTTTGCACAAAACTGTACAGTAGGCAAACATTGTTTTGTCACACTCCATAGATAATGTTACAAAATGGATGTACTGTAACAGATGCTTTTACATTTGAACTCTAATAAGACTGAAGCCATGCTGAAGCTTCACTGATTGACTCTCCTCATAAGCTCCACAACTGTGTCAACATTAGTTTGATTATTGTTGATGCTGGAATCAATCCAAGCACTCAGAGCAGGAATTTTGGTTTAGCCAAGATCTGAATCTTACATCTGAAGCTCAAGTTCCAAACGTTATGAAGGTACTGTATTTTTTTTTATTTTGGTAACTTTGCTTGTGTCTCTTGATGTTTCTCCCGATCTCATGTAGAGAAGATAATGCAGGCACGTGTCTTTTTCAGGGTTAATTAGTGATTTCTGGTGTATCCAAACCCGTTCTTAAGTCATACTATCTTCAGAATAATAATAATCAGATCCTCACTGAAGAAAAAAAATCATTTGCACATCTCAGAATAAAACCTATTTCAAAATAAAATTAAAGCTACTGCAGATTTACCTTTAAGGACCTGCACTGTTTGGGTACTGACTACATTCGTGAACTGTTATTTTCCTTGACAACTGCACAGTATATGTATTCTTGACTCCATCCTACTTTTGGATCTCAAAATCTCGGCTCTGATCCCTGGGAGACTGGGCTTTCTGCTGTGGTGCTCCAAGGCTGTGGAAGAATCTCCCAGCACAGGCTGGGCCTTTTAGACCAGTCAACCTTGTGTTAAAACTTACTCTAATACGTGAACAGGTTTTGTATTGAATTGTGTATTCATGTTTCTACTAGGTTTGCTTTTGCTTTTTTTCTTTGTAAAGTGCCTTGAGATTATGATGAAAAATCTGTACAAAACAAAACAAAGGTTACCATTATTAACCAATAAACAAACCTCAAGACGCTTTTGCTTGGGATAGATACACAGTATATTGTATTAAATGATCAAGATACTGACAGAGATATCGAAACTGTAATGCAGCAGCTTGTTTCCTTCTCCGGTACAGAGCTTTCTAAACTTTTCACATATCGCACCCCGAAGCCAAAGTTTCCAAGGCGTTGAAACCTCGATCTGGCAGGCTTTGAACTTTTTTTTTTTTAAATCGGGATCTCCACGTGAAAGGGTGGGACAGGTAGGAGGAGTTGCTTCGTTAACATCCCAGCCCACGGCCATGTGTGCGGCCCCGCGACTCACTGCGAGCTGTGAGGTAGTGCCTCGCAAGGGATGAGGGAGAGAGGACGGCACAGCGCTTCTTTACACTCGGATTTACAATAATGGTACTGGGAGTTTTTTGAGCCAAGGGGATTTGGTACTTGCAGAAAAAAAAAATTGTTCAGTGTCAAGACAGGACAGAAAACAACATTTCAGCCCCCAAATCGTAAGTGTCACATTACCTTTCCCCCCCACATAGCTCTTCGCGTCTATTGTAGCTAGAGACACGCATTTTACTGTGCATTAGTTTTTCTGAAGTTTGCACTTGACTCTTTTTCAAACTGGTGTAATCGCTGTGATGTCTGTTGCAGTAGTGCAGTGTTTGTCATATATAATTGCAAGCATTGATTTTTTTTCCTGTACTTTGCGCCGTTTTTTAAAAATCATATTTTATTGCCGATTTTAAATAAATATTGAGTAGTTGAATAATGGGAGTACTGTATGTCACACTTCAGATGAGCATTTTCCCTTCACTCGATTCTCATTTCTTAAAAGAAGCGAAGTAACTCGTCATGCAACTAAAAGTTGCAATGAACGTTTATCTCCAATGCTGATTTAAATAGCAGGTGAAGCTTTTGAATTAAATTCTTATTTCGCAGTATGTAATACGGGAGAAGGGCTTGTTCCATGACACCTTTTTAACAAAAAGTTTTAAATGACTTTATTTCTTTGTAAAATTAGATTTTATTATTTACTCTTCGTCAGAGCGTGGAGAACGAGTACGAACTTGAACTAAGAGTTCCAAGCTAACTATTCAGCTAAGAGTTATTATCCCTGAAATGTTCTGACGTTTTTTTAAAGAAAGCGCACCCCCTTCAGAGCAAGGAGGAAAGTACATAAGGTGAAAACGTGCCTTTTGCTAGTAAATCAGGGAAATAAATATTTGTCCTGTTGTTCTATAAATTACTTAAACGTAACAAAAAGCCGTCATATAAGATCTAATGTCTCTGTATTTGTCACGTTCCTATAGTTTTGTTATTGTGTAAAAGCTGAAAAATAAATAAGAACAGGAGTGCTCTGGTATCCTTCAGGATATATAGTGTTACATAAAGCAAGGAATTATATCCGAAACTCTAAAAGAGGTTGGTGTGGGGAGTTATGTCAACATGCAGGCTGGAAGTGTAGGCTAATTCCATACCGAAAAGGAAAAAGAGTAGGAATTTGAGCCTAGGTGTGGTTAAGGAGTACAAAAGAGAGTCTGAGAGTGGTTAGGGAGAAGAGAATGTGGGGACTGAAGAAATTATAATCTGGGTAATGAATTCCAGGGCAAGTGTGTTAAGCAGAAATCTGCAGAGCAGAGATATTTAGAAAGAAATTAATCAATCAGTGAGTACTGGGTGGAGCTGTCAACCGAATGTTGGTAATTTAGGATAATTCTGATGTCCTTCTGACATGAGTGTCTTTGAACCCCTGTGGAAGAATGCAGACAAAGGTCAGTGTGATCAGATGTGGGGAAGATACAGTTGGCAACTATCGACTTGGAGAGATCTTCTGTCCTCACTGCTCTGACGTGTTCAGAGAAACAGGGCATGTCCTCTTGTTTCACCAGGTTAAATGGCAGGGCGTTTTCTACAAGAGATGCTCTAAAGGAGATTGCTGGACAAACATGATGGCCTCTGGCCAAAATTGCATATTTGTGGTGCTGGCAAAGTATTTACAGGTAATACAATGGTTGCACATTGCAGGTAAAAACCAAATATATTTTAAACACTATAGGGCTCTTTTGAAGATTTTTTTAAACTACTGAAGTTGCGTTAGGTTTGAGTTTGATGTGTTGGGCGGGCCTGTGTCGTTAAATGTTGATGAGACCCTTTTCTTTTTTAAATTCTATTGCATCACACTGACAAACGTAATTTTAGCCTGGTTAAAACAGGAGGGAGTCCCACAAAAAACATAGTCTCTTTTTAAAGGTGGTTTCAGTTTCTTATGTGAGCAGGTCATCAGGACATCAAGTATCTTTGATAATATCGGTGCACAAACTGTATGAGCTACTCATCATGTCTTGTTCCTCCTTAGTCAGCCAGAAATGCTGTATATTGGCCATATGCATTTTTTTCTTGTTTTTCACTTCATCCATAAGGTGCAGATGCTGACTGGCACTGCTTTCATGTCTGCTGGAAACAGGGCTAGGCTGCAGATGCTTATTGTCTGAATGCCCTCCTGTGGTCGGTTTCATCTTCAGGTGTGTTCATACAGTACTTCACAGACTTCCATGAAATATGCTTCTTGTTTATCCTTTGGGGAATTGTGAAAGTTCACTTTTTATATAAAAAAAACATTAATTTATTACAGAATAAATGACCAAATCTTTTTTCCTCATTGTTACAGTATTTCTAAACCGGGGTTGGTACCTATTAATAGCTAGATTTTCATGTGGATCCTTCTTATGGAGTGCTTCAGTTTATTGAAAAAGTTCTGCAAAATCTGTATATATTTTTTCAGCATTAAGTAATTCCTGAAAGCCTAATGAATACGACAGAGACGAACTATATTAAAGTTGACTTGACGGAGCCTGCCTGGCTGAGGCTGATAGGACCCCCTCCATCAATTCACGAGGAATGAGCCAGGGAGCTGCTGCAAGGGTGAAGATGCTGCACAATGAGCTTTTATAAAAGAGAAGTGCAAAAGAGGTGCTTGGCAGACCAGATATTTAGGTGTAGAAGAGTGAGAAAGTGAGATGAGGAATTTGGCTTTCTCCTGAACTTGTGTTTGAAAGCACCATCATTTGCAGATACTGTACTATTTTAATCTAACTTTTATATATATATAAGTACAAGGTTAAAACGGGTGTGAGCTCTTCTGAAAAGTTAAATAATTACAGTAGTTACAGTTTTTTTTCCCACCAAACATCCTTGCCTATTCTCAGGTTTTGTGCCTGAGCTCTTGTAAGAATATGCTCAAAGAATGCATCCTCAAAATGTTATTTAATATGGCCCTGCATTTCCAGCAAATAGATGTTTATGAGCATGCCATGTGGCAGGAAAGAACTATTTTTTTTTTCAATTGAACTCACGGTAGCTGAGTTACCACCCTACTTGGGTGGCAGGATCATCTGTATTTCAAGCTGCATGCAGCTTGTACAAGATTTGTGAGTGCTGTATTGCGTTCTGTCAGAATAATGGGCTGGTCCTGATTCAGGGATAGAGAAGAGAAACAGAAAAGTGAATTATCCAAGCTCGGTCTTGTCCTGCGGAAGAGAGCAAACTGAGCCGATTCATTTCTTATGCCTGGGGGGGACGGGCCAGTGAGTTACTTAAATTTTTTGAATATATAGAAATAGCGTAATGGTAAGAATGTCTTGTAATAAATCAGAATGAGCCATGACATGGAAAATATCCTACAACAAAACAGCATCAAAGAATCAATCTCATTCAGAAGCTAAACCTCTCCTTTGAATCAATTTAAGCTTTTAGAAAATGCCCTTATCACTTTTAAAATCAAAAGTTTTTAAACCTTTGAACCCTCACCCAAGCATTTCCTTTTCATGTGCATACATGTAGTGCTTTAAAGAAGAAACAAAGCATTTTGTGGCTCTGAGTTCTGAGGTACGCTTTAGTGGATAACTCTGACTTTAATAACCAGTAATGTTCTTGGCTGTCATAAACAACTGAATGAAAAATATGACATGTCTCATTGTGGCTGTTTTTTTAGATAAAAGCCACAAATGCAAAAAAAAAAAACAGTAACTGGTGACTAAGTGGTGAACTAGAGTGTTTATAATATTCAGTGTGTGACACTGTGTGTACCTTATTATGAACAGTTCAGTTTATTTGTATACGAATGCAGTGAAATGCTTATTTGTATGTACTGTGTTCTCCGATACAAAGGAATTTAGGAAACACCAAAACATAAATACAGAACAGCAGCAGCAACAACAACAACAAAGTTGTTAAATAACATCCAACTTAAATACAAGTCAGCAGGAGCAGTGTTCTCAAAAAGTGTTCCTTGGGTGGGATTTGCGATTTGTTATTAAATACCACAAGCAACAACATACAGTATAAAACTAGCAACACATTATATAAAGAAATGTAGGTGGTTGGGCATATTATTAAAACATTATGTTTGTGTGTCTGTGTGTTTGTTATAGTGAGAGTTAAAATGCTTGTTCTTTTTCAAAGATTTTAAGTTCACAGAGACAGTTATCTCTTGCAGTATTAGGAAGTTTATTGTATTTGTTGCTTATTTCTTCAAATATTAGTTAGATCTTTGCTGTTCAAGAACAAAGAACACACTTGTGTATACCGTTTACTCTCAAGGACAAGATTTCTTCTGATATGTCCCATTGTCCTGATATCCCTCATGTTTTACCTCTTTCTGTCTCAGTACATTTTTAATGGTGGGAAAAAAAAATCTAAGGAAGGAACTTTGACCTGTAAACTTGGCAATTTAAGAGATTAAAACAGATTTGCACAATGAGCTTTGATAAAAGAGGTCCCAAATAAAATCACAGCAAAGGTGGTGTCTGTGTTATTGGTGGCCTATCTTGATCTGTGTGTTGTTCTTTAATACAGTAGAAAACATTTGAATGCTAATGAACACTAAGCTTTCCAAATGGGGTGTAATGTTAATTGCCATTAACACAGCGTGTACTTTAATCCTAGACACTAAAGTGCTCAAGGGACACAAGAGTTTCCTCATCTGCAATCTATGCCTTGTGTTCATTCACAAATTGAATCATTTGGATAATAAATCAAAACACCTGTGTTTTAGGGTGGTAGTTAGTTGCTAATTGAAAATTACCTGTGTGCTTGCATCTTGTGGAATAGAGTGTTCAAATTAAAGGGATTGTTTTGTAAAAGCAGGTTGATGTCATGAAGCTAGTGTACTAGGTACTCATTTGGAATGAGTGCCATAGAGATTGTACTTGTCTGAAAAAGTGTCTTATGACAAAAAGAACTAGCACAAATGTTAAAGCTTAATAGCAGGGGTAATATATGAAGTGTTTACCCATATTATAATAATAATAAACTTTATTTTATATAGCGCCTTTAAAGGTGGCTTCTCAAAGCGCTTTACAGGATGACAATAACAATAAATAAGGAGAATACACAAGATAAGACACAATTACAATATATAGAGGAGACCGTGGATGGTGGTACTAAGAAGAGCAGAGGGGTGAAGAATGGAGCCAGTTAAGTAAAGGCTTTTCTGAAGAAGAGGTTTAGAGAAGGTTTAGAGAAGGTGACTCTCTGATATCCTTGGGCAAAGAGTTCCAGAGCTTGGGGGCATAACAGGAGAAGGCCCTGTCACCCATACAATGTAGACGGGCTTGGGGGACAGTAACAAGGGCAGAATTTGAAGAGCGGAGGTCTTCAACTAAACTCTATTGTTACCGAAGCAGTAATTTGTTTGAAGTAATGGGAGGGAAGTGATTAAATAAAGGCTTAGATAGAACTTGAAAACAGTAATTTTGGAAGGGAAGCTGAATTAGAGCCTAAGGCACTGTTAATACTTTCAAAAACAGTGCCTCATTCACAAACTGCCAAGACATTAACTGGCTTGAAATGTTGTATTTATTAACTATGCCCTCATGAAACTGTTGAATTCCTTCAATGAAATTAAAACCTAATACTTGGTATGTTCTAAGAATAAGATTTTGCTCTATAGCTTTTCTAGTTTAGCGGTTGTCACTTGGTTCCTGTCATGGTTTTGTGAGCTAAGTGCAGAATGCCCAAAATGGGGCTTAGAAAAAGATATTGAAGAAAGATTTGGAGGGGAAATAGGTATTCTTTTTCATGAAAGTAATTGCTTTTATTCTGCAATTATATGATCAAAATTCAACATAAGTAAAACATTACTACAGAAGCCACAGGACAGGTTTCTTCATGTATAGTATATCTAATTTTTAAACAAAAGGAAATTGACTGTACTTGCACTACATCAAGTTAAACCAGAAAATTAAATCCAATCCATTTGCAAAATAACAAATGAATTTGTAGATAGTAAATGGACTTACCAGCTGTAGTTTAACATCACTATGTAATGCTTTTCTTGTTTGATTATTTTGGGTCACTGGTTTGTGAAAACAAAGAGTAAGTTAAGCACTGGGAGTGGGATTAAGCAAATACATGTTCAGATGTTCGAAACTAATCTCTTTACATTAAGAAAGGGGCTTTAAGATTCCTTAAAGGTAAAGAAAGCCATTACCAGAAATCAAATTATGGCTTATGCTGTTAAGTTTGTGTAAAGAGAGACTTTGACGATTCTGCTTCATGTTGTTTTTCAAGGTTGTGACAAAACAAAGTCGAGGTTTGAACAAGCAGCCCACCTGCTATAAAACCTGGCCACTCTCATGATGTGTGGTTGTGAGCTGCTTTCTCTGTGCTCTTTAAGGATGATTCCTTTCCAAGTGAGGTCCAGTATGTGGTGACATGACGAAGCATTTCATCACCCATCTCCTGCTTAATAATTCCCAATTCTTTCCCATCATGTTAATTCATTCCCAGTTCATTCTTATCATGTCTCGTTCCCGACGGGACGTGATTAAAAAAGATAAGGATCCTCTACTTAAAGGCAAGCCCTGTGGTAGGGAAGTGCATTCTGCATGTAATGGAAAATTAACTTAAACCTTCACTCATCTGACCAGACCTTCATAACTAGAATACCTCCCAGGCCTGGAGGTCTGGCTCCATTGTAATTTTAGGATGATACATTAAAGCAGTATAACTGTGACGTATTAGCCGTTTACTGTCTGTGTCCCATCTCAAGATTGAATAATTATTTTGCCTTTTTTAACTAAATGACCCATGGAATTAAACAATATAATGTAGCCTAATACTCCCTTGTGTATTATTTCAGTACAGTCCTCTTCAGAGTGAAAGTTTGTAAGAGTTTTATGGCTTTCATGCTGAGACAGGCCCAGCTCTTGTGCTTTTTTTTAGCAATATATTATGTTTATTCTATTTAAATCAGACTTAAATGATGCAGAAAGATTTTAAGTCCACTTTCTGTGGTGTACAGTATAATGACTTTTCAGCTGTGAGGGAAATGCAGTCTCAGACTTGTTGGCCAAAATATTTCTTGCAGAGCTTTTAATATAAGCAAAACAACTTAGAAAAGTTTGCAGACCCTAGAAGACATGAAGAAAAAAATAAATGTTGGAATTGAAAGTAAGCTAATTATTATTGTGCATTAAGCAAATTATTATAACCAGTTGACAATAACTTGTTTTGGAGTTCTGTCACTTAAATTGCATTTGCTGAGTAAACAAAGTCCATGTTTTATAACATTAAAATAATTACATTTTTTTCTTAGATTTTGTTTCCAAATAAATGGTAGCCGAACATTTGAGTACAAAATAACAAAAACAAATGTATCGCCTTTTGTTTAACAGACCACAGTGACCTGTTCTCGTCACTGACTCACTCCTGGATCAGTATTGAAGCCTGACATCATGAGCACATCTACTCTCACAACGCTTTGTGTCGGTAGGCTTTTTTGATATATAATCTAATTTTGCAGATTTTAAGCCTTGGTAACAGTTTTAGAAGTGACCTTTAAGCCATGTATTAGTTATTGATGAGCAATAGAGCTTAATAAATAGAAAGCTGTTGTATAGTGTAAAATTAATTAAGTATAATTTGCACTTTCGCTTATAAGACATGTATTAACTTTGTATTTGTCATTTACTAGCACTCAAATATATACATATATACATATACATATTTAGAGTACCACTAAAAGATTGACAAACATTTTAAATGAGAGAAAATAACAAATGTGAAAAATACTTGCATTTATTCCGATTATGTTATATATTCATCAGAAGGCAGGGTAGACTTATTAAAAGTTAGCTTATTAGTGAAAGTTTCAGTGTTGGAGCTGTTGTGTTAAAACTGTAAGTTTTTCTTTATGTTCAGTTCACATATTATTGAGTGGTGGCTGGCTGAAATGAGCCTCTTAACCAAGCAGCTCATTGCAAAATCCCAATACATTACATTGATTGTGGCATCTGTTGGATGAGAGCCAGGAGCCTTTAGGAAAACAGGAAGTATTGTCCCAAGTATTGGGTTTTGGATTGACAGCTGAACCAAAAATGTGATTTAATTTAAGATGAAGTTCATAACCATCTTAGGTTAGATGTCTGAGTTATTAACATACTTAATGGAGCAAATAATAAAAGCACTTTATTGAGCAGCTTTGGATTCATGCATGCCTGAGATACGTATTTAATTAAAATTATATAACATCTTTATAATAAACTTTAAATCTGATAGTTTTATAATGTGTGAAATTATATTAAATAAAGAAACATATTCTTATGCTATTATGTTTTGGTAAACTGTTAATAAACCCAAAACATCACAGTGATGCCATTGAAGTTAATTAAAATTACAAGAATAAGGAATACTATACATACTGATGCACAATAAAAGCACAGCAGTCTGTATTTCACATCAATTTCTCACTGGGAACAATGTTTTTTTTTTTAAATACTGTGCAAAAGTGTTGTTTATTGAATAGTATTATTCCTTGGGAAAACATAAACCTGAGATTATGCAATTGTATTTTAATATCTAGATCTCAGTCAGGGTTACAGTGTATTTGGGTTACAGAAGCCAAGTAAGGTGAAGCAATTCAAACCAATAGCCATTCAAACAGACATTTCATATAAGAACAGCAAAGACTGGGACCTGTTTGCAGCTGCAACAGTCTCCCACAGCAGTCTGTCCGGAGGCTGATGAGGTCTGTGCGCAGTAAAGTCATACCTGATGCTTCCTATGCAATGTTTTCATTTTGGCAGTGACATGTTTCATACTAATAACATTATTTATTGAGCTCTATTTTTGTTGATATGGTCTGTGATTATGTCTAACTTACGTCTCCGTTTAAAATATTTGATTAAATGCATTAGGACTACTTAGGCATTTTGTTTGAGCATCAGTGCAACAAGCCCATAATTAGTGTATTCTAAATAGACTGCAGTTAGTTTTTGTTTGTGTTTGAGACTCAAACAGAAAAACCACTGTAACCTCAGTGAGACTCTCGCAGGCCGTGTTTTTCTGATGTATGAAATTTGACTCGTTACACAGTGAACCTGTTGCTTGTTCTCTTGATCTCTATTTCAGCTTTGTTGCTCGCCAGTGGCAATGGAGCAAAGCAAAATGGGCAAAAAAACAAAAAGCCCAAACAAAGTAAGTACTGAAGCAACGCTCCTGTATGGAATTCAGAAGTACAGACTCATTCAAAAAGACTCGCTTGTGCTTCATGCAACAGTTTTTGAGAAACATTGTGAGCTGAGATGTTATGAAATAGGTGGGACTCTGTAAACAAAAATGGATGGGGAGTCCTTGGTTTTCTGGATGTAGTACTATGTTTTACATACCCTTTTACCAAAAGATTGGTATTTTGTTTCAGAAGTAGCTACTTTACGTTTATTTAAAATCCAGTGTCATTTTTTAAACCTTATAACTAAAAATACCATGTCAAAGCATACTGTTTCTCTTTTTTCAATTTCTCCTTCATTCTTGAAAAGTATATTTCATACTCTTCCTGGTTTAATGTCCATATGGCAATGTAGAATCATGTTTTGCATGAACAGCAACAGGTGGTGTGAATTTACCCATGCCAATCTTTACTCCCAGTTGTTCCTCAGATAGACTGTGATGTCCGAGCAGGGAAAATCAGTATTCCAGAATTCATTGCCAAGTGCCCTGCTAATTGCCGGGAGACCAAGCACCCTGTGTATGGAGCAGACATCTATGCCTCCATCTCCAGTGTCTGTAATGCAGCTATTCACAGGTCAGGATTGTGGAAAGATGTTCTGGAGTTTTGCTTATCGTTCTGTCACAGTGTTTGGTTATTGTCTATGACAAAGGGCTGGTCGATGCCGTTCTAGCATGACCTATGAAGTCCTTTGCACACACTGTCTGCTCACCTGGTACATATTGTCAAGGTTCAGCACTCCTCTCTTATTTTCATTGACTCTTCTTTATTGTTGTTATCCTTGTGTATTGAAGGTTGGCTTTAGTTCTTGTGCTTTAGTGCTCATTATGTCTTATATTAACTGTTGTTATGGATGTTGTTACGATGTGGTGATAATGTGGTGAAAATGACTTTAAGAAATTGGTTCATGAAGGACAAAGGTTAAATTGCTTTTAAAAAGCATAGCTTCACACAACAATAAAGTATTTCAAACTATGTTCATAAACAGGTTTATGGCAACTGCAACCATCAGAGAGCAGTAAAGAGGTTAATGTTGGAAATGTTAATAAAATACATGTAATATGACTTGTTTTTCAAAGCAAATTTTGGAACACTGGTGAGAATTTGTACGTCTTGGCACTGAACGTGTAGTGTAGACACAAGAACTGAACCTGCAGATTTTTTTAGGTGTTACCTACTGACCTGGAGGTTTGTTTGGCAGCGGGGTCATAACTAATTCCGGAGGGAAGGTGATCGTGAGGAAGGTGGCGGGGCAGTCGGTGTACAGAGGAAGCTTCTCCAATGGCGTCCGATCTCTGTCTCTTCCCAAGTGGCGAGAGTCCTTCATCGTATCAGGTGAGGCCCTGGCAGGCTGGGAGGAGAAGGAAGGCCAGAATCGGAATCTTGGGGCAGGTCCTTGTTGCTCTCCATGCTATCCCAGTCTCTGAATGTTTGTCTCTTGGCAACATCGGAAAAGTGTGGTTTCATTCTGAAAACCCATCAGGTTGACAGAGGGTCATCTTTCACACTTGTCCAGTTGAAAGCCACAGCGCTTATCATCTAGTTTATCATACAGATGTACAGTACTTGATAAAAACTATTGAATCATTTTGGTGAGCTTCAATCAACTTGATTATATTCTGATGTGTAATGTTTTGGTTTCTGTGGTCATCTAGGTGGACGGTCAGATCTCAGAAAATTGTTTTCTCACTAATTTAGGAAAATTTTGTTTGGAATATTTTATAATTTTATATTTTCAGGACTCTTATTTTTCTTAAATGTCTGTTCCCTGCTTTTTATGATTACAATCTGCTACATAGATTACAGTGCAAAAAAAATCCTAGAAGCAACATGAGGCTAAGGGGAAAGGAGATAGGAAGGAAGTTATGTGATTGTGTGTTTGTTTCTCAGTGGGTAAGCCAAAGAAAGGTGTGATCTATCCCTCCATCTTGGAGTTCCTACCTTCAAGATCTACTTCTGTTAAAACAGGTAAGATGCAACAATAGGTATTTCTTGAATCAGGAGACAATAGTACATTTATAGCAGTAGATATCTTGCCATGGAAATGCAGGGGAGTTATCTAGAACATGATGTTGAAAAGCTGACTACTTTTGAAAGTCTTTCAAAGATGTGGTCAGATGAAATCCATCTCGCTAAACTATTGTTTTAGGGCATTTATCGGGGCTTGTGTAATTTCACAAACTTTGTTTCTCTCTTTTCTTTTCAACTGAAATATAACTATGAATCAATAGAGATTTTACTTTTCTAACAGAACCCAAAAAATCAGAACAAGACACTAAAAACACAAAGAATTCTGGAAGTTCATCGGAGAAAACCTCAGATCAAGGTATGGCAATAATTTACAAAGAGGTTATCAATTTCTTATTGCAGAATCTGGAGGAAATCTCTTGGGGCTGCTTTTCCCTGATTTACAGGGTGTAAAAATGGAAAGGCTTTGACCAGATCTAATCAGTTCTGGACCCCAGCAGACAAAAAAATCTATTAAAGATTACAATTATCTGACTTCCACAGAGCTGTTCGCAAAATAAATAATGTTTTAAGAATGAATACAAAGTGACAAAGGTCAAGTCTTCATTTCTGGCCCCGACATGACCACTGCTTATTTTGAAAGGATAGTGCTAATCTACTTTTCCCACCTTTCTTTTGTAACATTGACTCAAGTTTGACTAAACTACAAAAGTCCGCATCAAACTGCATGCTGGGTTTTTCAGGCATTCCGGTAACTCAGCTCTTCAGTTGAAGTTCTGTTTTTGTGTTTCTCACAGGCCACAAGGAGGCCAAGGCTTCCACAACAGCCATGACTCCAACCACGACGGTGACGGAGCCCACCACTACCCCAGCACCCACCACCACCACCACCACCCCCAGACCCGCAACAACCAGCACCCAGCTCCCCACCACTACCCCCACCCAGAGCTCCAGCCCTGCCCCCAGCAGCCCTGCCAAACCCCGGGTAGCGCCTCACAAAGTCCGGGAAGCAGGTCAGTGTCGGAGGGGCAGGGATCGCTTCTCAGGGCACTGCTCACACACATCAGGAATTGAACAGCCGGGACAAGGAAGGACAGAAGTAGTTGGTCACCTTGAGGGAGGGTTTTCAATCAGTTATCCACGGACTGGTAATCCGATAGAGAAGGTTCTCATTGCTACGCTGCCAGAGGGGACAGCTTTTTTACATGGTGCCCCTGTCTGTGCTATTGTTTGTGTTTTTACAAGGGTTTTACATTACAGAGAGAATACGAAGGGCTTTTGCACATAAAAGCAGAAAGACTCCTGTCATTCTATTCCAAGAGACTCCTTAAATGTGCATTTCAAAAGATTGCAACTGAGTATTTTTTTTTATTTGATTGATCTTTTTGTGATCTATGAGCTACATGAATGTTCTATGTGATAGAATAAGCATTTATTTATACAATAAGAGATAAACAGAACTGGCAGTCAAAATCAGTGCATCGGCTCCTACAGATTATACAGTATCCGTGACTCTTACACCAAGACATATTACATCACCGAGGGTTGTTCGCTTGCACAGTAGTTGTGGGATTTCTATCATTTCAAAGAGAAACTCCTGTAGACAACAGCATTTCTTTTTCACCACTCTTTTTCTAGTATCGTTGCTTGCTGAAATAAGTTGGTGGCAGCCTGTTTTGTTGCCAGATGCCCGAGCAGTATTCTTTCTGAGCATGATAGACCAGCTTGAAATGCCCATGCGTTTTGGAGCATCGCTGTGAATATACTGTATTGCTTAGTCTTTCTGATTCAGGAAGTAATCACATAAATGGGTACTGCCGTGCAGTGTCAGGTGTCTGCTTGCTGTCTTGGGGTGTAAGGTTAATCTCTTCCTGTGTCTGCAAGTCAAGCTATGCTTTTGTCCCTGTTTTTGTTTGTATTTTAGTGAATGTTCATGTGTCTGATGAACTTTGCAATGCCTGTGCCCACCAGGATATTTCTGAATGCTTATAAATCTTAAATAAATTAGTGAAAGATCCAGTATTCAGTACCACTCATCCTAACTTGCATTTTAATTGTGGATAGGTAGTAATTCAGAATATTTTCATCTTCTAAACATAGTCCATAGGAGTTAAAATTCTAAAACAGTTAGCATTTATAAATTCATTAACTCTCTGAAAAGGGCAGGATCAAGATTATAAAGGTCTTATAGTTCATTTTTAAAAAACCTCATGACTGCTTAGGATTCTTCCAATTTAAAATTACAGTATTTCAAGAAAGAACAGACTTATGTGCTTTAGAATTTGTCTGTACAAATCCTGTTTGTATCCGTTCAAATTTAAAAAGTATTGTAGATTTTGTTTCAATTACTTGCTGACTTCTTTATTGAAATGTATCAGAGCTTTTCTGAGTGGGTGGACTTACCCCAGATCCTCCTTGAAACCTTCACCTCAATAATATTCAAACAAAATCCTAATAGCAATAGACTAACAATCTACAGGATTTCTATGAGAAAGAGGCAGACTTTTTTTCACTTACTGTTCTCCTAACATACTTTTATAGTAATAAGATATAATGTTGTAATCATGTCTGATGCACTTTAACAAGATTATAAATGCATTAAACTATTTTCTTATTCTCAACACGGGCTTCAGGGCAGGTACAGAATTCTCAAGCAAAAGGGCCAACACAAGGTATGGTTTAGAGGTTTTGCAGATTATTTGTCTGTTTTAAAGCAGAAGTAAAATCCGGTCTGCATAAAACTGTCACACTAACCGCCAATAAACTGTCTTCCAAGCATTCAGAGGCACTTCCAGCTATGCAAGTAGAAATTCTCCTCGTATCAGTCCAGGTAATCACGCTTGAAATACGCCGATGTCTTTTCTGCATATGGCACAAACTAGGCCAGCGTTTATTTCTCACAACGGATGCCCACAGAAATTAGATTTTTTTTTCTGGCTTTTCCTTCAACCTCACTGTTAAGTATTTTATTCTGTTTTTCACAGATTGCTGAATGAAACCTTGCACTGCAGTGTTTTTTCTTTGTGCTGTATGTGCAGAGCTGTTTTTCCAATCGGTCTATTCAGTCGATCACAGCTGCCTCAGCTATCCTGCAATGGTTCTTTTTGACTGCTCTGCTGCTGTACACACTGGGTGCCACATCTGTTGGCTTTGAGAGCTTTAAAACCCATTAGCACTGACAAATACATGGTGAAAAGCGGTGCTCAGGTGTAGATAGGTGCAGATCCCACACAAGAGGTGAAAGGCAGGTTGCATTATATAACATCCTTAAACCAGATGACATTGATAATACATCACAGGCCATTGTCTCATCAGTTCTGGAATAAGAATAATATCTTTGTTCCTAAAGTAGAAATCTGCTGCCAGTCCACTAGTGCTTTACTAATACTGTATAATGACTGTGTATAGGTTTTCGCCGGCAGGACCCAATAAGTACCTATAAAAGACAGTCTGGAGCCCCTGCTAATCCAGGTAAGTCACTTTCTTTCTGTCTTCTCTAATGAAGGACGGCGTCTGTCTTTCTTTGAACTCACACTGATGTAAACCGATCCAAATACAAAGATGTTTTGGAGTGATTGCTTAGATATTTTCCAATGTCCCAGAACATAATAATACTAAAAACATATTGTGAAAAACAGAATATATTTTCTGTAGCAGGAAAGCAACAGTAGTCTCTTAGATACTTTTTATATTCATCTCCTAGTAATTCTTTTTTTAAGCTTCAAATCTTCAGGTTTCTCCTTTTGTTTTTTTCCTCTTGAAAATCAGCTTATAACAGAGTTCAGCTTTCCGCTACAGAGAGAAACCAACAAGCTGTGCAGTCCCACCCCAGTAAGTGTTTGAAAATCCTCTCCATCAGAAGGCATACTATTTAACTGCAGCGGTTGCACTGTGATCAATAACTTTTACCTGGTTCACACTTAAAACTAACTAACCATAGGTAATAAACCCTAAACTGATTCTGATAACTAGGACAATTAATAAAATCGTATTTAAATAGTTTCATATACTGTGCTAGTACTGCATTATTTCCGTCCAAGATTATTTGAACTTTCCCTGCATTAATTATGAGTACTGACACGTATTGCAGGAATGCTTGCTACTGTAAATATAGCATGCTTGTGAGCTGCAAAAAGTGGTTTTGTCCCCCACTGCTTTTGATTTAGGTTTGCCTGCCTCATTTAGGAGTATCACATGTGATAGCATTCTAATGAGAACTCAGTTTCTGCTACCCTGTTCAAACTAAGCTGTGCCTACACGTTTTAATTTCTTTTTAAATGACCCATTACGTTCCTTGAGTACCTTGTACAGTATTCTCAGTACTATTAGCGAATCTTTACTCACAGGAAAAATAACTTGAATGACTAATAACTTAGTCCTTAGAAGCAGATAGTTCTTTTTGCCTTCACTCACCAGTATCTAATTCCAAAGGGTAGCTTGATGTCAGATTTGCACTAGGCAAAGGCAAGCACCATGACAAACAATAACCATCTAATCTGTTATACTAGGACTTCAACACTTAAGTGGAATGACTTTGACAGAGCCAAGTGTATGTGCTATAATACTTATATATTGTATTTAAATGTAATATGTTTTCCCTTCCTCTAGCAAGAACCTTGGTGTCCTTCTTGACAGAGACCTCTCATTTTTATTCTGCACTGGCCCACGGTCGCCTCTTCTTGCTGAGGAGTGCCTCCAGCCCCTTCCTCCCTGGCTCAGGCCCTGCTGGCTGGCCTCCCTGCCTGCGCTCCTCAGCCTCTCGCCCGGGTCCTTTCTCTTCCTCGCTCCCCTCGTGCCGCCCTGCTGCTCCATCCCTCCGTTGTCTCCCGGCTGTTTCAAAGCGCTCGTTCTTAGCTGCTGCTGCTTATGTGAGGACCGAGGGGGTTTTCTCAAACTTTTATGGGTTTCACTCTTCTTAAATCCCTGAAAAAAGGCGCAAATTCTGCGGGAGAGGGACGGGCGGTGATGTTGAAAGTCAGTGGTAGTGACAGAAGGTTGTCTGTTTGATGCACGCCCTCCCCCACTTCATCTCCAGTCCCCCCAATCTCTGTACTCCCTCCTGACCCCCCCCTCCTCCTCCACCTCAGCCTGTTCCTGGTCTCCGTTCGCCCAGCTCCGGGGCCTGTTCCTTCTTGTCCCTGGAGCCGCGGCGGGAGAACGAGCTGGATACTGAAATCGGATCTGTGCTGCCCCCGGCCGCCTTTCTGTGTCTCCTCAAGACTTGATCCGTTCAGACGGCACCTGTGATCTCTCTTGCACCACCAGCCGATGCTGCACTCCGCTTAATGGCTTTCTTTTTGGGCTGTAAGAAGTCATTCCTTACCTCCATGTTTCTTACTGCTCAATGGACATTATTTTACTCTGATTTTACTCTGATCATTATTAGTTGAATTAATAAGCTATTAGGATTCAAATCCTTTTCTTTTACTTGAGGTATTTTATTGCTATTGCCCTGAATAAGGCCACCCGCTAAAAAGCAATCATAAGCCAAACATGACAATAAAATAACTCTTCATTTAATAAACAGACCATAGCCAGCGCATAAATTGAAGACTTCAGCTGCTTGAAACTACTTAATACTATTTAATAGCGGAGTCTGAAATTTGGAGGCTAAAGCTTTGTATCCCTCAGTCAGCGGATTGTGTAGACTCCTGAGCGTAAGTTTGTATCCCTCAGTCAGCGGATTGTGTAGACTCCTGAGCGTAAGTTTTTTTGTTTCTTTTTATCTAAAATATCCAAGCCGTAAGATAACAAGTCTAATGCTCAGTCTACAGGTCAGTGCACTCATACACTTGCCCCCAGGACTACTGTATATACAGTTGCTTGTATGGACTGAGGGCATGGAGGAGCACAAACAATGACTCTGTGCTTCACTTATTCACTCACTCCCACTCTGTTATACCCTCTAATCTCTGGGGAGGCCGTGGTTGCTGCTGTCTGCACACATGTATGGTTCACTAACTGCCCCGGTCTGTATTGTCCACAGAGGTGTTTTTGCAAGTTCCTGTCAAACGCGGCTCTTCTTTTTGTTCATGAAAGGGGGGATCTAGGATGGAGCACGATTGACTAGATAGCATGACTATCATGTGGGGAAGCGAAGCCTCTCTCTTTCTTTGGTTGCTGACTTTGGCTGCTGAGTTTGAAGGTGTCAGCTGCACTGAAACTTTACACAGAGCTAAACTTCACCCCGTGAACTTTGTGGCATTCTTGTCACGTGCTCGGCTGTTCTCGGTCTTGGTTTGTGTCAAAGTGCTTTCTTTATACCAAAAAAAGCTTTTTATCTGGGTGCCTTCAAGATTTTAGTGGAGCTGTAGGCTGTCCATACACATGTACTGTACTTTGTTTTCTTAAACTTTTCTGTTTCTCTCAAAACTAATGCAATTATTAAATACAAAAGTAACATATTCAATAGTCAAAATTATATCTTACAATGGTGTTAGATAGGTATTCGGAAATCAAATATTCGAAGGAGGTAACATTTTTTTCCCCTAAAGAAAAGGTTTTTGGTCAATGTGCGTTTCGTGAATTTAGATAGGGAGGTGAAACTTGGACTTGAATGCAAAAACTTAATAACTATAGGATGCTATAGGATGTAAAATACTGATGGTAAAATACATGCTTGGAATAATAATGCTATGAAAAGGAAACAAATGAGTTAGAGCACAAACAGAACTGTGTGGCATTATTATTAGTCGCGACACTGAGGTGCCAAAGGGCTGGACAAGTGGAAAGTGGAACAGGTCAATGTTGGACAAAGAAAATACTTCACCCGCTCCCAAGAGACTAATATGAAGCCTCTTAAGTAAGAAGGTCCAATGACCCCAGTATGTGCGTTGGAGCAAGATGATATAGGAAAACGGCTGGAGAGAGGAGCTTCTGGAAGAATGTATAGTAGGACAGTCTCCCAACTTAGTTCTGGAATTCAGCAAGCCTATTTAAACTACCAACAGCTTAAGGCTGTGAAGAAGGGCTAAACTGGATCAGGTTAACACGTCTTTCATGTGGGAGAAGCCTTTATCAGATGGATAATGGCTGCAGATGATGAAAAGGATACATATATTCGTGAGAATATTTTCAAGCTGATACAGTATGTGGGGCTTAGCTGTTTGAGGGGTTAAACCAAGAGAGGAGTCTTTAACAGGGAGGATAGGATATATAGAACAATAACAGCAGGGACTCTATTTTATGATTGTATGGAAAACATTTTAAACAGCAATCCTAAATTATGCCCTTTTCTGACTAAAGTAGGTTATAATAAAACAGAAAATGTTAGGCTCAATGGAAGCAAGGTTTGAACTGGGCAGTCTAGAACACATTTCTCATTGAGTTTCATTAAAATGCTGATACTCTTATTAAATGCCTGGGACTCAAAATAAACATACATGACAAGTATCGGCAAATTGCCTGTAGCTATCCTGTATGATTATTCATAAAAAACAACTTAACCGAATGCTTTTTTTCCCCTCAGAGCATTATATGAAGGCTTTCAGAAGAATTGTTCATGCTTTTTTCCGTTATACTTTGGAAGCCTAGCTAGCCATCCTTAAGGAGTTCACACAAGAAACTTTAACAAATGAGCTGTTTCAGACGAAAAGATGCTAGCTTGCATGTTTGCATTCCTTTGTTTGCCCTGTTCTTATTTGTAAATTGGCATTGTTTTTTAACTGAATGGCTTCAGGTATCTCCTGAAACAGGACACCGCATGCTATAATCACGAGTTTGCTTGTTTTAATATTTTGCTTCAAAAGCAGCTTTTAATCTCCCATGCAGCTTTTACTAGAAGGGACTGGCACCACTCTTACCAAAGACCAACCTGGCAGAATGGATATAGACGGCCAACAGGTATTGGTGGAAATAATATCCAAGGAGTTTAAGAAAGAAAGCATTTACAAATAAGATGTTTGTCTTTTAAAACATCAATGGTTTTCCATGTTTATGTAAGATGTTAGATTAAGAAATCTACTATAAAAAGAATATTAGATTAGAGTGTAGGAACACTGCAGTTGAAAAAGTTAAATATATATAATACCAGATACTAAAACATTTAAATAAAAATATAAATTAACACTAATTTCCAGAACTTCAAACATAAAAGTCTAAATAATAATGAGTAAATATGATGCTATTGTGCAGTTTGCTTCTATCATGAGACACAGTGAATGACTCTCAATCTCTGTATCTAGATATTAGTTATGCGGCCCCTGACTCTGGTTATACATGGACTGAATCGGAAGGTTATGACACACCAGGTAAGGACTGAGAATAGAGGACACATAGCACAAAGACAGTTGATAGCTTTGTGGTCTGTGCTGACTGTGATTCTGATGTACGCATCATGCACATTTATCTCCTGTTGGGTAGTAATAATTAGTAAACGAGTCCATGGCGGCAGATGGCACTGTTGCCTCATGCCTCTTGGGTCCTGGGTTCAATTCTGACTTGGTGTGCTTTCTGTGTGGAGTCTGCATGGTTGTCCCGGGGTGTCCCAGTCTCCTTCCAACTTCCTCTGAGTTAACTGGCATCCCAGAACGGTCCATGTGTAGGGTTTCCAGGGTAGGCGTTGATCTCCACCAGGAATAAGTATCTTTCTCAATAATGAAGGGATAAAAGTCATGTTTGTCAAGGAGGCAGTGTGGGTCTGCAGTTTTGGATCCAGTCTTTCAGTGAGTATTGTATTCACATAAAAGACATGTCAGTTGGGTAGACTCAATCCCAAAACTTTGCAGCCTGAGTGCATACTTTGTATGCAACAAAGACTGGGAATCGATTCATTTTCGTCGGAATATTACTTGACAGACTTAACCCTTTGCATGGCCTACTGGTACTGCATGGCTTCAGTCTCCATGAGTGATCTATGTGGATCTGCAAGGGCATCTTCACTTGGGCGACAAGACAAGAAAAATCAAGTGAAATGATCTGGTGTTTTTATTTAGCTCAGAGCCCCAGACCTGCTACCTCTGAATTTGATCGCTGGTTTCTTGGACAGTACGGTAAGAAGGAATGTTTTTTCAATGAAAGGGAAGATCAAACCAGGAGGTGCTGCCCTTCACCTTCTGTACCCTATACCGTGAATAAACCCCCCTGCTATTCTTTGGGATGTAAATTGCAAATACAAATGCAAGCAATTATTATTACTTGAAAAAAGAACTTAAATTCAATATATTGTGGAGCTCCTGTGAACAATCCCCTCAGCAAATGTTTTTTGTTATAAATGTTATAAATCTGAAATGTATTTATTGGGACTGTTAATGGGATCGTCTTGCAAGAGCCTGATCCACATGATTTTCCATGCATATTCTTCTTATTTCAGGTATTAGGATTAACAAATGGTACTGTCATATATTTAGTTAAATACAGTGTTTATATATAATATATTAGCAGCATTACAAATGCAACAAATGAGTATTTGAAACCAATCTGTTGTATTTTAATGCCTCTCAGTGTTTGTGTTGAAACGGAAATGGTTATAATTGTAGGAAGTACTGTAAATATAAATCGGCATTTTACGGATTAGAGAAGACTGATGAAAAAAGTGCGTAATGCTGGACTGTGTACAATTATTTGCAGCAACTTAAATATCCGATATATTTAAACATAATTTGTTTCCTCTGACAAATTTAGTGTGAGGATTTTTTTGGTGTAATAAAGCACATCTTAGTACTTTTTTTTTACAGTGGTTAACATTTCAGCTTGATAACTCTAATATTTATATAATGTAATAAATACAGTAACATTGTCACAGAAATATATAAAAATATATATTTCATAAATTGTGTATTCTTATGCTACACCGTAAAATACACAGTGTGTATTTAATAATAACTGACCTTGCATTTAACAATAGTAATGGCATCATTAAGACTAATGCTGCTTTAACGCCTCTAATTGCCTTGCAGATTTTTGATAAATTGGGAAAGGTATTCTATTATTTTGTATGACTGTGTTCTGTCTGATTTGCTTTACTGTTGTTCTTGGTTTTATGACAAAACATTTTTGTTTATAATGTCACAAAAAATAGAATATGTGTGCTAGAAAATGCTTTTTAAACGTTTTCTTTTAAAAAATGTATTGTACTTTCCTGCGGTTCTAAGTATTAAAGCAAGATTTTGGATGTTTAGGAGTCAGTGTAACATTTAGTTTTTTTTAAAACTATTCTTAGGCACCAGATTTGGAGAACAAGACACAAATCGTAAAATCATCCCAGAGACAACTCACTCACAAGGTACAGGTAGGTAACAAAACTTCCTCTACTGAAGAATAACAAAGGCAAAATAAACTTTTTTTTTAAAATTCTGTTGAGTCATACTAATCTCATTTGAATCATCTGGCTTCTATCTTTATCCAAAGAGCTTTACTGTTAATCAAATTCCGTTATATACAGGCAAGTTCAGTATAATGGAATTTGATTAATAGTAAAGCTCTTTGGATAGTAAATGCAGAGATAACATTGAATGTGACCTTTAACTTTGCCTTTTCTCCTTATCATCATATGTATTTCTTCAGTACTAAACAAACTGTCTGGTATAACGTTTTTGCTGGATTTACAGTAAACTGAGTAATATCTTGTTTGCTGCTGGACTAAAAAAAATAAACCATCTGCCTGACCTCATCACCTTCATTATATAAACTTATATTGTAGATGACTTATGTTTGACAAACATAAATATACGTACAGTATATCTGCACATATTCTGCTGTACAGCATCCGGTTATTTGTGCAGGATGTGCAAAGTTTTGGACTTGACCCCCAGAGGCCTTTTCTGGATGTACTTTTCAAACGTGTCACAAATTTGGTAACAAATCAAATATTTAATATTTTCGAAACAGTTGAGCCCTTTGATGCCTGGAAACCTGAAGTAAACCCTTTCAACACAGGTAGGGTCGATTGATACTGTAACAGCCTAACTCCCGCAACAAAAAGAACTGGCTTTGACCGGGGTGTTTTCCTACTGAGTGCCGAAGAGCCCCGAAGAATATAGGAGCATGCCGACTTGTAAAGAATAAAATAAAAGACTTTCATAGAGGCAAACCACTCTAGATATATTTTTGCAAAGCCTCCCTTTCATTATACGTGTGGAAAGAGTCAACTGTATAGAACATTTCCTTAATCCAAGAAGATTTCTATAACGCATTAAAGTTGGCATGCACAAAAGTCCTAAAGTGTTTGAAACCACTTCGTAGCAGTCTTTATTTTTCCAGGTGAGCAATTTAGGCTGTTTTTTTGGGCACATAAACCACAATCAACAGTGTGTTTAGAGTCTAAAAATAAGAGGAATGTGAAGAAAAAGGAGTGGTTGCAAACTGAAACTAACTGTTAAGAAGCTCCAAAGCTTGCAACAAATTTTGCTTCAATCTTTTTTTTCGTGAGTTGTCAAGCACTCATTTACTTACAAGAACATAACACTATTTTTGCTAATTACTCTATAAGCTAATTTAATAAACTTACTGTCCTGCTCTTTATAGTATATTATATACAGTACATACAGTACTGTATCGACTTCACATATCCTTAAAAGTACGGTTGTGTAAAGCAGTGTTATTGAGATATCATGTGTTGTGACACCATGAAACAGTGGTAAAATAAACTGATTGTTCAGAATCATGTACAGTTTTTCTGTGTTGTCTCTAATGTCATCATCTTCCCCCAGGCATTGGTGCACAAGAACAGGAACTGATCCCCAGAGTGACAGAAACAGTTTCTCAGGGAGATCCAAGTATGTGAAATGAATGCATTTGCTTTAGTATTAAGCAATTGTCTGCGGCCAATCAGCTCTCAACCTTGAGCTAATTCATTTCTGAAACGTATTTCTGTCTTCACTCTCTACTCTCGGTACCCTCTTGTGGCTTTTTTGATTGCGTCTTGTTCTTCGGTGTTGTCATGTCCCTGCAGATTGCAAAGTGGATATTGCTTTCCTAATGGATGGGAGCTGGAGCATAGGGAAGCGTCGTTTTAAAATCCAGAAGGATTTCCTGGCCGAAGTGTCTCAGGTTCTCAACATTGGAATTGCAGGTCCTATGATGGGAATCATCCAATATGGGTAAAAATATTTGGACCTATGGTGTAGTTTTAGTGTCTGTCGAAGGAGTCTCTGCTCAAGAGCCCTGGACAGAATTTTGGAATGAATACATGATCACAAATTCTTTGGGCTTCAGCATAAGAGAAGCCATACCTAAACAATTTCTGAAAATAAAGAGATTTTCCATAGCTCTTCAGGTCTCTAGGATGTCTTCAGCTGTTCATGCTTTATTCTGTTTACAGTAAACCCTAAATTCCAAGTAAGTCGGTTTACTGCACTGATTGTTTCCTGCTATACAGTAGATCTATGACTGCGTTTGATATAACACTGAAAAGTGACAAAACAGATGACAAAGCAAATATCTACATTAACATGCCTGTGGCAATCTAGTTGTGTGGAAAAGCATTAAGTTATATCTCCTTCCAAGGCCTAAGAATTTGATATTTATGGAGATTCTTTTGTCATGCACTGGAGCTTACAGAGAAATATTTCATGTTTTTAAGTGAACCAATAATGATGTGTGCTCCTGTAGGTTTTATACTAACACTCCCCTTGAAAATGAAAAGTTAGAAAATTTAGTAAACAGGTTTTCTTTACACTCATTAAAGATTTCTTAATCTGAATTAAAAGGGAGTCAGAAAACATCAGAAACATCAGACTGAATCAAGATGTGTTGATAACTTCCATGGCAAAATTCAAGTGCTTGACTTATAGGCTTTAGTCACGGCAAGAGACAACCAAATTTTCCAAACTCATAAACCTGACACTCTTTAATAAACAGAAACCAGAATTATGCACACACATTTTGGGGTTTGTTTTTTTTGCTCTAGGGATGACCCAATGACTGAATTTAGCCTCAAGACTTACTCCAGTTCCAGAGACGTGAAGCCAGCAATAGAAAAGATAGTCCAGAAGGGGGGGCTCTCCAATGTGGGTGAGTGATACTCAATGGTGGTGTGCATGGACAGCCCCATTTCATTTGGGTGAAACATTTTAGATGAGGACCCGTTTAAAGATAGATCCCTGGAAGAGGCTGCCAAGAAGGGGAGTGGGTTTCCCAGCACCTTGTTAAATCTTCCTCTGGGTTTCCTCAGGCAAGGCCTTAACCTACATCAACAAGCACTTCTTCAGCGACTCCAGTGGGAACCGCGGAGGGGCGCCTAACGTTGCTGTGGTGCTGGTGGATGGCTGGCCCACGGACAAAGTTGAGGAGGCCTCGCGTCTGGCCAGGGAGTCGGGAATCAACATCTTTTTCGTTACCATCGAGGGACCTGACGAGAATGAGAAGCAAAACGTGGTGGAGCCAAACTTTGTCGACAAGGTGCAGCTGGAAAAAGAGAGCCCCGGTTATCTAGAGGGTTGCTCTTATTAATGGGCGCATTGCAAGTTTTCTTGCCCCACAGTTCTTGTGGGGCCTGGCGTGATTAACATCCACACATTGTATTTGTGTATGGTTAGACCAGACTGCACAGTGAGAAAGAAGGTGATATGGAAATGTCAACAGATTACACCTAAATCCCCGAGCCATACTGTTTTCACAGTCTTCTGATGCTGAATGTGGATTAAAATCATTGAGTTAAAATAATAAAAAAAAGATTTTATCCAACAGAGCAGTTGCTTACGATGTTCCTACGGGTTTTTCGAATAACTGCCTCGGCCATCTCAACAACGCCCTCTCTGTCCCCTCCACCCAGGCTGTGTGTCGGACGAGCGGCTTCTTCTCCCTCAGCATTCCCAGCTGGTTCGGGCTGCGGAAGACCCTGCAGCCCCTGGTGAAGCGAGTCTGTGACACGGACAGGCTGGTCTGCAGCAAGACCTGCCTGAACGCCAATGACATCGCCTTCGTCATCGACGGCTCCAGCAGCGTGGGCACCAGCAACTTCCGTACCGTGCTGCAGTTCGTGGCCAACATCACCAAGGAGTTCGAGATCTCGGACACGGACACGCGGGTGGGCGCCGTACAGTACACTTACGAGCAGCGGCTGGAGTTCGCCTTCGGCCAGTACGACAGCAAGCCCGAGCTCCTCAACGCCATCAAGCGCATCGACTACTGGAGCGGGGGCACCAGCACAGGCGCCGCCATCACCTACGCCGCGGAACAGCTGTTCAGCAAGTCCAAGCCCAACAAGCGCAAGATCATGATCGTCATCACCGACGGGCGTTCCTACGACGACGTCCGCGCGCCGGCGCTGGCGGTTCACCGCACAGGTAAGAGGAGCTGGAGGGGAGAGGGCGTGCTGCCGGGGAGACAGCCTTACAACAAACCTACAGATAACAGGAGAGTATTTAGTAGTATTGAAAACTGCATTCATTTTTAGATCTCTTGATGTTCACCCGACACATCATATATACCTTACTCTTTGTAAAATAACTTCATCTCCAATATAGTCTTGATGCTTTATTAAATAGTTACTTATTAAATACTACTTATCTGTCGGGGCAGACTACAAATGGAGAGCAAACTTTACCCATACTTTATATGATTACAAGGCTGTCATTGTCAGACATACAGTATGAAGAAGCTTGAGTCAATAAGGAGCAGGTCAGCTGAGAAAGACATGTTCCTTGTTTGCCACCAGGGTGTGAAGCTTTTGATTAACGGGTTCTGTCTTGCCCTTATTAAACAAGTTAAATCGGGCAGAAGTTTAAATAACTGACTTAAACAGCTGTGCAATGATATATACAGTAGTAGAACATTTTAAGAACTATTGTGATAGTTTAGTTGGGAATAAGGTAAGGCAAAATAGTAAAAAGAAAGGTCAGTAGAGAAAAATATTCCCAATTTCACCACTGGACTGTGAAGCTTTGGATTAATAAGCTCTGTCTCGCTCGGTCAGGTGTGATTGCGTACTCTGTCGGCATCGCCTGGGCAGCGCAAGATGAGCTTCAGTACATCGCCACCGACCCCGACAAAGACCACTCCTTCTTCGTCGATGAGTTCGACAACCTCTACAAGTTTGTGCCCAAAATCATACAAAACATCTGCCAGGAATTCAATT